TGAAAAAGTAACAGCAAATTTTTTTTTAAGTACATCAAAAACAGAAAGCCTGCTAAACAACCAGTGGGGCCACTGGACGATTGAGATGCTAAAGGAGCACATAAGGAAGATGAGACCATTGCAGAGAAACTAAATTAATTCTTTGCATTAGTCTTCGTGGCTGAGGATGTGAGGGAGATTCCCATTCCTGAGCCATTTTTTTTAGGTGACAAATCTGAGGAACTGTCCCAGATTGAGGTATTATTAGAGGAGGTTTTCGAAAAAAATTGATAAATTTAACATCAGTAAGTCACCAGGACCAGATGGTATTCATCCAAGAATTCTGAAGGAACTCAAATGTGAAATTGCAGACCTACTAACTGTGGCATCTAACCTATCACTTAAATCAGCTTCTGTACCAGATGATTGGCAGATAGCTAATGTGATGTCAATTTTAAAAAAGACTCCAGAGATGATCCTGGCAATTACAGGCTGATAAACTTAAGTTCAGTACCAGACAAACTGGTTGAAACTATGGTAAAGAACAGAATTGTCAGACACCTAGATGAACATGATTTGTTGGGGAAGAGTCAACATGTTTTTTGTAAAGGGAAATCGTGCCTCACCAATCTACTAGAATTCTTTGAGGGGATCAACAAGCATGTGATACAGTGGATATAGTGTACTTAGATTTTCAGAAAGCATTTGACAAGGGTCGCTCACCAAAGGTTCTTAAGCAAAGTAAGCTGTCATGGGATAAGAGGGAAGGTCCTCTCATGAATCAGTAACTCCTTAAAAGATAGGAATCAAAGGGCAGGATTAAATTATCAGTTTTCAGAATGGAGAGAGGGAAACAATGTGTCCACCGGGGTCTGTACTGGGAGCAGTGCTCTTCAACGTATTATTCATAAATGATCTGGAAAAAATGATACAAAGCTACTCAAGCTAGTTAAGCCCCAGGCAGACTGCAAAGAGTTACAAAAGGATCTCACAAAACTGGGTGACAGGGCAACAAAATGGCAGATTAAATTCAATGTTGATAAATGCAAAGTAATGCACATTGGAAAACATAATCCCAACTATACATATAAAATGATGGGGTCTAAATTAGCTGTTACCACTCAAGAAAGAGATCTTTGAGTCATTGTGGATAGTTCTCTGAAAAAATCCACTCAATGTGCTGCGGCAGTCAAAAAAGCTATCAGAATGTTGGGCATCATTAGGAAAGGGATAGATAATACAGAAAATATCATATTGCCTCTATATAAATCCATGGTATGTCCACATCTTGAATACTGTGTGCAGATTTGGTCGCCCCATCTCAAAGAAGATATATTGGAAATGGAAAAGGTACAGAAAAGGGCAACAAAAATGATTAGGGGTATGGAACAGCTTCCATATGAGGAGAGATTAATAAGAGTGGAACTCTTCAGCTTGGAAAAGAGACAAGTGGAGGGGGTATGATAGAGGTCTATAAAATTATGACTGGTGTGGAGAAAGTAAATAAGGAAGTGTTATTTACTCCTCATAACCCAAGAACTAGGGGTCACCAAATTAGGGGATGTTGTGAAGGCCCATACTATAAACAGGGTTCAAAAAAGAACTAGATAATTTCATGAAGGATAGGTCCATCAATGGCTATTAGCCAGGATAGCAGGAATGCAAAACCATGCTCTGAAGTGTCCCTAGCCTCCGTTTGCCAGAAGCTGGGAATGGGCAACAGGGGATGGATCACTTGATGATTACCTGTCCTGTTCATTCCCTGTGAAGCACCTGGCATTGGCCACTATCAGAAGATAGGATACTGGGCTAGATGGACCATTGGTCTGACTGACCCACTGTGGCCATTCTTATGTTCTTAAGATTGTCACTGTATATTTAATTTCCTGCTAAATGGTGGCTGTTCCATGTAATTCATTGTCCTCTCCATGTTGTAATTTAAAATAGTTTCAGATCTACTATTTGAAAAGAGTTTGGGGAGAAGTGAAATAGAAGTGAGGAAGTTTTTTTAGAAAAGTCACACACCAGTTGAAAGACAGGTGCAGGAGAAAATGATGACACTAAACAAGGTAGTTAAAACTCTGTACCGATGCATTAGCTATTACTTGGGCTTAATGTAGCTGAAAAGGAGTGGAGGATTCGATGTGGGTTGGCAAAAAATGTTCCCAAATGTAGATTCATTTTAGCTAGGGCATCGTAGTTACAAAACGCATTAAAAAAATCAATACGATGGTGTCTAAATATAACTTGAACTCCGCAATAGATACTAAACATTGCAGGTTATTCTTTAGGAGTGCTGCTATCCAAAAGTGGAATAACTTTATATCAGGTGTGTAAAGTGATGAAAGATTATTTATTACAGCAACAGTTAGATGTTATACTGGACCCTTCATTACAAGTAATAGGTTTTGTCCAATAATTGCCTTCTGTGTGTCGTCTCTGCACTTAATTATCCATCTAACGTCAGACGTTGAAATCTGTTTCTGTCTTGGTGAATAAACTTTGTATGTATGTATGCAGAATACATAGCAGCATCACACCACACGTTTCTGTAAACACATTAAATGTTTGCTTTCATGAGGTGGAATGAGATAGTTTAGAACATTAAAAAGGAGTTTTGGTTTATGCCGCAAACCTGTCTGTGTTATGCCAGGTATTGAAATTGTAACAGTTAACTGTTTCTGGGGTTTCGCTGCAATGTTCCATTGAAAAGTCTTATTTATATCATTGCTGTTTCTTCACACGTCAGAGATGAACAACAAGCCTCCACTCTGTTTCAGTGCTTTAAGTATTATTCTGGATTAATTTGGCATCTTTACAGATGAAGTCACCCCAACTCAGGAGATTGGTACCATGTGAATTCATTTGTTTTCTGTCTCCAGCATGAGAAAAGGCTACTTCAGTTCTGGCTTCATTCTTTGTCCGTTTGTATCCCCTGTGGAAGAGTAGATTGTTCTGTCGCTTACTCGCCATACAGTTTCCAACATAGAATTCCCTGCTTTCTGACCTCCCGCTATGGCTGGTGGGGTGGTCCAGTATGGGCCAGCAAATTCAGGAAGTCTGGCAACAATGTTTCTATTATATTCTCTCTGAATGTTGTGGCCTTTGCTTGAGTTCCTAAAGTGATAGGCAGCTCTATTGGCAAAATCAAGTTGTGTACAGTATTTATGATTTTACAGCAACAGCTAATCTTAGTTTAATCGTTTTCCATTCAGATCTACCAAGATAAAGCACCAAAAAGATAAATGTTCCTCAGGGTAGCTGCCCATTTCAAGCATTCTCGTTGTATCCTCTCAAAGCCAGCACAATACGACTGAGCTTTTTGTCTCAGGCTATCAGAGGTGACAAGGAGGCCATTCTACCCTGAGCTCTAGGGTGTATGAAATCTTCATAAACTCACTTGTAGCTAGTTGCTGTTTAGTGTTTAATATCCAGATGCTCGGTTTGACTGTGTTGCCCCATTCATGTTTTATTTCTTTTGGGGGATTGCAGGGCTGTTGTTGAAAAATATCTGCTCGAAAAATCTCGCCTGGTCTCTCAGGAAAAGGATGAAAGGTAAGAGGAGATTCGTATTTTGTACTGTCTGTTTGAATGTCTCTCCCATAATCAGTGATGTCCACCTCTCTAAGCACAGTCTTTTCATATAAATGAAATTCCACAATTGTCTAATTCTCCTGACAAGAGACTAGATCACAATGAGAAGAGTTTGGGGTGAATTGCTGGTACGTGTGGGCAGGTCATCAGCAGTTTGTGTATCTGTCAAAAGGCTGGACTGAACCCAAATTAATACTGGCTAAATATGTACTGATCAGTGCTCTCTAGAAATATACTCCTAGCATGATGGCTGCCAGTCCTGATCAGATAACAAGGATTATTTAGAGTTACGAAAATAAAGTTAGCTCAGTCATGTCATGGTGCCAGTATTTGTTAGAGCTAATAGACATTAAACATTTTAAAGGTGAGCCGCACAAAGTTTTTCACAAATTGGGCTCCCTCCCCCCCCCCCCCAACACACCCCTTCCCACTGCTTATGATTTATGTAGAAGGCCTGAAGGTTTTTCAGAGAACTTTTCTGCTTGTTTGGGGTTTGTTTTTTTTTAACCTTAAATATCTGAAGTATCAAGCCCAGTTTTGGTGGAAGAACTGTTTGGAGGCTGGGGTCTGTCTCGGATCACTTGTGAGCTCTATGACGTTAATGGGAGTGGGAGTACAAAGACCTTCTTTATCCAACATGTTAACTAGCAATTGAAGTTAAAATGCTGTTCCTTGACACTAGTTTTCCAGTCATCATAAAAGCAAAAATGACGCCAGCCCAGTTCTTTTCCCTTTGCAAGTCACCTTTAAGCACCTTCCCTTTGTGCACTTGGACACTGCTACATACAAATGAATTTGTGACAGTGGACCCAGAAGGAGGAAATACTTAAGCCATTTTGAGATTTCATATAAAGGTTTCTTCTTCTCGAACCAGTGCTGCTTATCTGGATGTATGTGCTGGGAAAACAAATTATGCACTTTTACTTTTTCTAAGTAAATTCTCTACAATAGAAGTACAATTCTTTATTTATTACTTTAATAATAAAGAACAAATGAGAGGATAAGAGTAATTTTCTTCCTTGGGATTTTTTTCTAAACACTGTATGTGTCACTAATGATATGTAATGTAGTAATGATGGCAAAGGTGCCGTTTTATCAATTTGGAAGCATGTAAGGCTTAAAGAGAAACCAATGTTATATCTTCATTAAGTAGAAATATGTTTCAATCTATAGGAACTACCATGTGTTTTATTATTTGTTACTTGGAGTCAGTGAGGAAGAACGTAAAGAATTTCACCTCAAGCAGCCTGAAGATTATTTCTACCTCAATCAGGTAAACGTTGGTACTCTGTGTGTAACTTCAGTGATGAAGGTGCTGTGTCCCTCTTTGAGATGTTGTAGTGATAAAGGACACCAGAGCAGAGAATCTTTGTTTCCTCTTGTGTCCTGTGATGATTCTCTATCTAGAAACTAGTTCATATGGCAAAGGTGGCTTTTTGACAAAACATTGCTTCTTAGCTATGCAGCAACATGAGCATCAACAGCACAAACCGTGGTATGAACCACTCATTACTCTTCTCTCTGTGGATGAGACTTAACCCTCCCCAAACTTGTCTATGCTTCAGCTTTCTGGACCCCATATTAGAGATCATGGCAGGTCCTAAAGATGAACTTATGAGCACCATATTGACATGACCCTAAATTCCCTTTGTAGAACTATTTTAGAGATGTTCTCAACCTCAATATCAGTAATTAGACTGCACTTTCTGTTTGAAGACTGTTGATTGTGCTTATAGCATCTTTCAGCTGGAGACTGGTTGAGGAAACGGGACAGAGTATGCATTTGAAGTAAGAGCTTAGTCTTGCAGTTGCTGTAAGAAAATTGAAATAAACAAAATTCTGGACTTTGCCAGAGCAAAACAAAAGTTGCTTCAGGCCTGCACTTTGGATGGTTCATCTTCCTTCATTAGAGTGGTTGCATAAGAGTTGTGCCAGTATCTCTGTTGTTCAATGTGTTTATGTGAACTGAATTGTTGTGGGGCTTTTCTGTAGCATAACTTGAAAATAGAAGACGGGGAAGATCTGCGCCATGATTTTGAAAGATTAAAACAAGCCATGGAGATGGTTGGCTTTCTTCCAGCAACTAAAAAACAGTAAGTAGAATTGTTTAGCCTCTTTTTGCAGACAGCTGGCAGTGAAATTGAGGTGAAGTAGTCTGTATTGCTGTCTGTGCTGTAAAAATGCATTATGAACAGAATGGTGTGGTGTGTTCTAATTTGTAAGACATCAAAACTATATTTACTTTGCTAAGCCCATTAGAAAGCAGGGAAAGTAGAGGGCTACTTTTATGGGCTGCTATAGGCCAGTTGTGTTATCTACATCTCTTCAAATAGATGTGGCTGTGTTTCTGTTATGCACTCTAGCTGTATTAACCTGTTAACTTTAATTAGAACAGCAATTTAAAAAAAGTCACTATTGTTTTTATTCTTCAGGATCTTTTCAGTACTCTCAGCTATTCTTTACTTGGGCAATGTTACCTACAAGAAGAGAGCCACAGGTCGGGATGAAGGGTTGGAAGTGGGACCCCCAGAAGTACTGGACACCCTCTCTCAGCTTCTGAAGGTAGAGTATTCCCTTTAATGAGTGCCATAAACATTAAGCTGCTGTCATGTTCTGCCTCAATAACTTCTTGGGAGCATTTTGTTGCTCAAGTTCAGCATGCCCCAGAATTGGCATAGGAGTATTGTAGGGGTATCTTCTTGGGGAAGGGAGCCAGCTTGCTATACGGAATAGGAATGTGCACGCTGTGAGTGACATTCTTGGGGACAGGGAGAGATAAAGGGGGTGAAATACAACCCAAAAGATGGGAATGGTAAAATCTGGTTACTCTGTTAGTTCTTCAGCTCTGTATCAGGAGCAGAGACGTGGAGCTTAGATTGTCAGTATTGGGGCCTTCCCACTAAAGAAATCAATCCTAACTGCATGTAAACTGAAAAAAGGATTTTAAGAAGCTCAAGGACTTGTAAAACTTATTCAATCACAGCTGTAGTTGTCCTAAGGGTTTGACTTCGGTATCTGAGGAATTAGTAACTACTGCTGTCACCATATTGCTGTTGGTCAGGTAGCTAACGTTTAAGGTTGTCAGTAACTCTTGTTTTTCTTGCTTTTTGTGTGAAGGTCAAACGAGAAATTTTAGTCGAAGTACTGACAAAAAGAAAAACGGTGACTGCTAATGACAAACTTATCCTGCCATATAGTCTCAGCGAGGTGAGTGTCTAAAGGCATTAGAAGAAGGAACTTGGCCATTTACCCTATAGCTGACCTGCATTGGGAGTCTGTTGGTAAAAATGCTAGAACAGTTGTCTTGGGCTTTTCTTACTCTTTAAAATCACTAACCAGAAAATAGTCCCTGATTACATCTGAGCTGTGAATATCATGTTGTTGGATTGCTGTGGGATTTTTACTTTATTAACTTAAATACATATTTTAAATAGACATGGCCAAACTCCCATTGTCAGCTTGTGGAAAAAGTTGTGTATTATACATTTAGTGAGTCAATACAAATGAATGTTAAAATAAAAACAAACAAAACCAAAGCTAGGGCACTGAAAGCCCTTATACTATGTCAGTGAAAAGTTCAACAGTGGAGCAATCTTATTTTTTCTGACTGAGACTGCACCACTTGTAGGAAAGTCCTCATATTTCAGGCCAACTTAATGAGCTGTTTTTTATTTGCAGGCTATCACAGCTCGTGATTCAATGGCAAAGTCACTGTACAGTGCCCTGTTTGACTGGATTGTTCTGCGAATTAATCATGCGCTTCTTAATAAGAAAGATATGGAAGAATCTGTTACAGTAAGTTCTTCACCAGAAATAATACCCTTCTAAACTCAGCTATTGTAATTGTGCACATAACGCTAACAAAGATCACCCAACAAGACAGTACGCTCAAATATTAAGTGAAATCCTGGCCCAATTGAAGTTAGTGGTAATATTCTCAATGACTTCACTAGAGCTGGGATTTCAAGATAGGTGTCAAAAAGACAATGATCTTCTATCATCTTGAAAAGTGTTTGTTACAATTTTAAACATGCCAGTCATATTAGAATAGACAATATTACTAATGCTTAGTGCATGGTCAACAACCACAATTGTAATTGTATGATTAACTCACTTTCATGATGGCCTACCTAACAGGATTTCTGCATTGTTTTCTTAGTGCTTGTCCATTGGTGTGCTCGATATATTTGGATTTGAAGATTTTGAAACCAACAGTTTTGAACAGTTCTGCATAAATTATGCAAATGAGCAGCTTCAGTATTACTTCAATCAACACATTTTCAAATTAGAACAGGTAAGAAAGCACATATTGAAGGCATGATCTCCCAGCAAAAGTTTAAGGAGGGTAGTAAAAACTTTTATTCATGTATTGATTTGTCTCGCTTTATAAAGCGCCTAACCATTGCACAAAATTAAAAGTATCCCCTCTTCAAAAGCTTAGGCTGTAACATTATAGTTGTGAAAGTATTTAGTTAAAAATCCTGTTTCAGGTCCTAGTTTATTTTGTGGAGTGTGTTTGTATTATGGTAGAGGCCCCATTCGGGTACCAGGGTCCCATTGTACCAGGCACTGTACATGCATAACAAAGACGGCTCCTGCCTCAAAGAGCTCAGTCTAAACAGAAGATGGGCTACAACACCAGGAAACAACACAGATGAGGCGAGCACAAGATAACAATGAAACTAAGTTACAAATTTTGGGACTGAAACTTCATCAACTTCCTGTAGCCAAAAAGGAAGTTAATTTGGAAAGGTTTGGGAAAGCAGTTGAGGTTCGTTTCAAATTATTTCATCCGTTCATAAATACTTCGATTTAGTTGCTTGTACCTGGATATCCTGCAGTGAATTAGTCTTAATGCAGTTAAAATAGATGGGTCATATTTTTGGGTGTGTGCATATAGAGTGAAATTACCATTCTGGGGCATATGGCACCAGAGTGTCACAATGTGCATTTATTTGATGGTACTGGATTTACATGTATGCACTGGCATATTGTTATTAAATAGGAGGTACCTGGTAAATGTGAAAACATCTGGCCAATATTCTAAACGAATAAGAATGAGGAGATTCAGAGTGATGCTTCTCAGCATGTCCATAATTAGTTTATGTTGCATGTGGATGAGACGGCATTAAAAGCCATTATTATTACCAGAGTGGCTAGGAGCCTAGTCATGGACCAGGATACACACACCCTCTTCTTCTCCTCCCCTGGCCCCCGTGCTAGGCTCTGAACAAATGTAGAACAAAAGCCATATACAATAATAGTAAATCAGACTATATGTAAGCAAGAGAGTGTTTTATGGTTACCACAGAGAATGTAAACTTTTCTATGTCTTTAACCTTTCTGTAACAACTTGGCTGGCAAGAAGTCTCTGTACAGGTGTTTCCACAATCCATGTGACTTCAGAAGCTAACAGTATAAAGGGGGGTTAGCTGGCTGTTTTCCTGTGGGTCCAGTTTCTTTATTAACTTGTATTTAACTGCAGTAAAGTGCTTGAGAGAAATCTCATTTGTTTGCTCAATGGGATAATAGAGATTTATCTTTCTGTCCTCTGGCTTTAACTGGTCCTGGGTCTGTAACCAAAAATGATTAATCTTTCAATTGTCAAATCTCTAGAGCATAGAAACAGAAATAGTATCCAATAATAAGGTACGCTGCATCTTCTGTTCTGCAATCTGGGAAAAACCTATTACTTTCCTAATTTTAAATGTCTTCATTAACACATTCAGTATTTAAAATATTCAGTTTTTCTCATTGCTTCCCCCTCTTGATGGTTGTTAGAGAATGTACTTAACTGCATGGATACATATCAATTATATGCTGTGTGTCCTGTAAAATCAGCTAGAGCACTTTGTGTGTGCATGGTATTTGATTTTACAATGTGTTTTGATGTGTGGTGCAGCATTCAAGATTAGAATCTGGTCCTGTGTCCTTAGGCTTGTTGTTTCTTTGTTTTCTTGCTGCTGGCTTTAGAAAAAAACAAAAACTTTTCTGGGTCATGACAAAATAATTTGTCCTATGGTCAATCTGCGTGAGGGATAAATTGCTCTGTATTATGTATCTTATGAACAGTGTGTAAATAGCTTTAAACAAAAAAGTAAAGGAAAAAGTTGCTCAAACACACACATTTCATAAGTAAACACAGTAGAGAGCCAGCAGCATAGTAATTTAGGACAGGGTTGTTATCCAGACTAACCAGAGTAAATAGTTATATGCTGTTTTTTTGTTTTTCTAATTCTGTTTTCCCGAACAGCCTTAATCCTTAAGTAATTCATTTCCTGTATCTCTGTCTGCGTGGGTTCCCTCAGGGATTCTTTATATATCTTTTTGAGTAGGGACTTGTTCATAGAACTTAAATACCATTTTTTGTAGCGTGTTGTGCATATAAATCACACAGAGTAGATAAATTGGACAGATTTAGTTCCACTCAATTGACAAGGATGCATTTTCTAACATCCATCATGTAGAAAGCACCTCCACTTCGCATTCTGCTGCTTCTCTCTTTTTAAACACGTGGTTCTGTTTTTCACCGGTGTGTAAATACATTACTCAGAATTGTAAGTGTATTATCTCCAAACCAATTTGCCTCTGGCTTTCACAGCATGAAGAAAAGCTGATTGTGGAGCTGGCACTGCTAGGTTGTTTGGCACAGAAGTATGTGGCGGTGTACTTTGCACAGCTTTATTAAACAAAACTCCAAATCTTCTGAACCAAGGCAATGCTTACTGCAGGCAAGACAGATCTGCCAGTCGCCCTTAGAGAAATGGATTCCGTGTCTCACTCCCCAGTGTTTTGTAGGCCTGGTCTGCCTGGCTTATGGAATTTACCATACAGAGATGAAATAAAATATTAATTAGAGAATCTATGATTTAGTATCTATAAGTGAAATATTTTTTTTCTGGTTCTCACTGCCACTGTATGAACTAACAAACTTGGAACCTGGCAGTATCTATCTAAGGAAGCCCTGATGTGGGATGCAGTGTTTAGTTAGCAGGGCTTGACAGGGTTGGCTGCTGTGGTGATATGGAAATTTTCTTGAGTTGCACAGGAGGAGTATCAAAGTGAAGGGATCGCTTGGCACAATATTGACTATACAGATAACGTGACCTGCATTCACTTAATCAGCAAGAAGCCCACTGGCCTCTTCTATCTGCTAGATGAAGAAAGCAAGTAAGTATCAAGTTTCTTCCTCAGGACTTGCTGTGTGTGTCATAAGGGAAAATGTCATAAATAGAGGAAGTTAATGGTTATGGTAGATAACAGATTAAGGGGAGGGAGGGATCTTCGTATGTACAGTGTACAGCTAACTCGGATTCCTCTCTGAGAAATTACGCCAGTATGTTGGTGTCCTTGAGTGCTGCTGTAAACAAAACTTGGAGTTTTCACTGTATAATTATGGAGATAGTATGAAATACATGGCTGTGGAATGTAATTATGAAAGTGCTGTAAGATGTAACTACTTAGTACCAGTCCTTACAAAGTTTGATAGTGGAAGGTGGGTATGAAATGTCTATATGTACAATAGATGTTTCTAAATACAGTATTCTGCTTTGCGGTGGACTGTTTTCTGCTCAAAAATTAACTCTTTAACTCAGCTCTCTAAGCGCCAAAGCGGGACTGTAAGCTGCTTACCACAGTGTAGGGCATATTTATCCAGTTTGTCACTGCTAGTGACATCTTGGACTGTACCAGTTCACAGCTCTCTGTATGAGCAGGCTTACCTTCATTCATACTTGGAGAGCAAGAAGCTGACATTTCCCACTCTGTTTCCTACTTTATGTCCTTAGCTTTCCACATGCCACCAACCAGACCCTACTTGCAAAGTTCAAGCAGCAGCATGAGGAGAACAAATTCTTTGTTGGGACACCAGTGAAGGAACCTGCTTTTATCATCCGGCACTTTGCAGGGAAAGTTAAATATCAGATAAAGGTATGTAGCAGATTTTGAATAGTCACCAAAGGCCCTTTTCCTTTCCTTTTCCCTTTCCTACCCTACAATTCAGTATAAACAGAAAACTTGTTGGGTCTGGGTTAAACTTGGTGTGTCACTAGAGTTGGATTAGTTTTTTTGTGAAAGTCTTGGAGTGAAGACCAAGACCATGTTAAGAATTACTCAGGCTGACATATCCCCTTAGTCAAAACACAGTTCCACGGGAATCCTTTCTGATTTAGTGTTTCGGGCTTGGTGATTCTGTCCTGCAGGATTTCCGAGAGAAGAACATGGATTACATGAGACCAGATATTGTTGCTTTGCTGCGAAGTAGTGACAGTGCCTACGTTCGGGAGCTGATAGGAATGGACCCAGTGGCTGTGTTCCGCTGGGCTATTCTGCGGGCAGCAATTCGAGCGATGGCTGTCTTTGCAGAAGCAGGACGTCAAAGAGCCCAGAAAACTGCAGGTACTGAGCACAGAGAAACCACTCTGGAAATATTTTTAAATACAAACAGTTGCTGTTATCTTTATATCAACAGATCTAAGGGATTTTCTATCCTACAGACATTGTAGGATAGAAAGTATTAAAGCTTAATGCTTAAGGGGAAACTGTGTCCTACAGTTTGAATAACTTGTCCAAGGCCAAGAAGGGCATAGATGTTGTTATACCTGAGTTCAGAAGTCAGGAATTCCTGCTTTTAAATCCTGTGTTATGGCTACCCCCAGTGTGAAAGTCGGTTGACACCAGTGCCTACTTTAGAAACAGTGTGTGAAATATGATCACATATTTTGTAAAGCTAGTTGTGATGCGCAGGTAGTTCTAATGCATAGCAGGGATTGTCTGCCTGTCACTGCTTATTTAATGGCATTTTGTCATCCCCACTGAGATCCCCATTTTATAAACTAGATTGTTTCACCTTTAATAATTAATACTCCGTCTTAAGAGCTTTTTGAAGAGATGAGTTTGCCAGCTGTAGTTGGAGTAAAACTTTAGACCCTCAGGTATATTTCTGCAGTTGTGATTGAAATGCTGTATGTTCCATTGTGTGGATAAATTTGTCAAACTTAACGAGCACTGTCCTTTACTTTCCACAACAGGTGTGGTGCGTCACGGACCCCGGGTTCCCCTGGGAGAACTCCAGAGAGCAAATACACCAGTAGAAAAAGTTTATCGGTGAGAGACACATGCTTGGCCTCTAAATCAAAGCCATTTAAACAGAACAATGGGCAGTATCCTAAGGATAGTAGGGAAGAGTTGATATACCCTGTGGGGAAGGGCCCCACGCTGCCGGGCCATGTTGTACATAGTACTAGTGTCACTGCTATCCACATGCTTGGTTGACAACTAATTTATTTTTTCAATATCTTGGCAATTGTGTTAAGTTCTTCCTATTAATACAAATAACAATTGGAAGTAGTACGAAAAATAGGAGATTCACTATATGAGGCATAATTGCTCTCTACTTAGTATTCTTAGGCTGTATAAATTATGACGGGAGACTCAGAAGAAGCTGTTCACTTGGAATATCTATCTTTAATTACCCCTCTTCTAAAATGTTGGGAGGCCAAAAATGCCTGAATAACATTGAATGAATGTGGAAGAAGTGGGTTTTAGGAGAGATTTGGAAGAGGAGGGTGGGGAGGATGCTGTGCTATCATTGGGAATTATGGTAGAACCTCAGAGTTACGAGCACCAGAGTTACGAACCGACCGGTCAACCACACACTTCATTTGGTACCAGAAGTACACAGCAGCAAGAGGTAGGAAAAAAAGAAAAAGGAAAGGGGAAAAAAAAGCCAGTACAGTACTGTTAAACATAAACGATAACGTTAAAAACGTAAAAAATAAAGGGAGAGTTTAAAAATTTTTTTCACAAGATAAAGAAATGTTTCTTTGCTTGTTTCATTTAAATTAAGATGGTTAAAATCAGCATTTTTCTTCTGCATAGTAAAGTTTCAAATCTGTATTAAGTCCATGTTCAGTTGTAAACTTTTGAAAGAACAACCATAATGTTGTGTTGAGAGTTACGAACATTTCAGAGTTACAAACAACCTTCATTTCCCATGTGTTCATAACTCTGAGGTTCTACTGTAGCTCCATGCATAGAGAGCAGCATGGAAAAAGGAACAGAAGGAATATTGCCTTGTGGTGAAGTATCCAGTAAATAAGATCCAAGGTGCTGGGCAGGGAACCTACACAGTAGCACCCTCCATTTGCTAGCCACTTTCCAGACACTGAGGAAGATGCAGTCCCTGCACCTCTGAGAATGCAGTCTAATTTTTTGTGTTACAGTAGTGCCTAGAGCAGAGGTGGGCAAACTACGGTCCACGGGCCACATCCTGCCCTCGGGACCATCCTGCCCAGCACTTGAGCTCCCGGCCGGGGAGGCTGGCCCCCGGCCCCTCCCCTGCTGTCCCCCCTCCCCCGCTGTTCCCCCCCCCCCCCCGCCACGCCTCAGCTTACCGCTCTGAGCGTCATGGTAAGGGGGCGGGGAAGGAGAGGGGTTGGATAAGGGACGGTGTTTCAGGGAGCAGGGGGTGGTTGGATGGGGAGGGGAACGGGGGGTTGGATACGGCGTGGGAGTCCTGGGGGACCTGTCGGGGCGGGGGTGTGGATAGGGGTCGGGGCAGTCAGGGGACAGGGAGCAGGGGTGGTTGGATGGGGGCAGGATCCTGGGGGCGGGGGGTCCCAGGAGGGAGCGGTCAGGGGACAAGGAGCAGGGGGTTTGGGTGGGTCAGGGGTTCTAAGGGGGGCAGTCAGGGGGTGGAAAGAGGGAGGGGGCGGATGGGGGGCCAGGCTGTTTGGGGAGGCACAGCCTTCCCTACCCGGCCCTCTATACAGTTTCGCAACCCCGATGTGCCCTCGGGCCAAAAAGTTTGCCCACCCCTGGCCTAGAGGCCTCAATTAAGCATCAGGGTCCTCTTATACAAGGTGCTGTAGAAATATCTAAATAAGACAGTCCTTGACTCAGGGATTTGACAGCATAGGATACCAATATGATATAAAAGTGCGCTATGAAGAAAACTGGAGCTGTCTATATGCTCTCTCATCTAGATATCACTTCTGTGCCAACTTTCCCTCATTCTGTTACTTCTATAGAATTTTAAGATTTTGCTTTCTGGAGCATATCCACTCTTCCTACTCGTACGCAATTTGGAGTAATAATCCAGATATAATCCAATTTCCCAGCCTCTGGCTGGGATACCAGATTTCAGCTGGAAATAAGGAGCAGATAAACTCATATATGCTGCTTTACTTGAAATGTTCTGAAGACAGGAAGGAAAATAACAAAGATCTGTCTGCATGTAAGAAAGAATAGTTTATACATATAAAGTCTTTTTAAGGAGATGCTCCACCTGGTTGTTAAATAAGAAACAGTGCTACCGAATATCACTGACGTAAACTCTGAACCTAGCCTTACCACTAAGTTTCTAAACTATCCATCTGTAATTACTGTATGTTGCTTTCTATGTTGTACATGCCTTCCCTTGCTATTGGACCCTGAAAACTGAAAACTCCATAAGAGTGCCCATACTTTTGTAGCCTTTGTTTCTAGGAGTATGGCATTGATCACTGAAAATGCAGTGAAGTGGTTGGGAGCAAGGAGATTCCTTACAGAGCTGGTTCTGATCATCTCTCTGTCTCTGCATATTTACCTTTCCATACAATATTTAGGTTCTATACATGTTCCTTTTGCAGCTGCTCAGTGCTTGATTTCTCATTTGATTGCTCTGAGGATTTCGATATAAATGCTTTTGAAGACATCATTGCTTTTTATGAAAGCAAGAAGTAAGTAGAAGTGAGAAGACTTTGTAGTTGGAGACCAGGGAGGCACATTCCTGGGCAGATGCACCTTCTGAGCATGGTCAGGGCAGAAAACAAGCCTCAGAGAGTGTTACACATCATAAAATAACTGGTTCATAGCAAATTGGACAGTTTCAGCCAAGTGCAACTGAAGTCCACACTGAACTCTTAGTAGGCCAATAAAACTATCAGCCATAGTGTCACTCATTTCCTTTAGTATTTTAATGAAAAAAAAAAATTAACAGCTTTCTTAAAAAGAACTGTCAAAGGAACTAGAGACAATGAATAAATACCTTTTTAAAAAATGGTTGGTGCTGCCTGACTGAGCAGCGTAGAATAGCGATGGCATTTTATGGTCAGAAGTGACTTCTTACACTTCTGTTATATTTTTGGTTTGTGCCTCTCTGGAAAGTAAAGAAGGTAAGTTGTTGTTGTTTTTTTTGCCAAGATGTGACACTCCCCAGCATGGTGCATGGTTAAACTGATTGATTCAACCACTAATTAGAGACCATCCCAGGCTGACTTTTAAAAGCTAAACATGAGTTTAAAAAAATAACTTGAACTGGAAATGGGAGAAGTAAAACTTCACTTTGGTGCAGTTTCAAGTACTCCTGCAACATCTAGCTTTCTGGTCTACTTTTTCATGACATTGTGCTAAGCAGACCCACTGTAACATTCAATCATATGAAGCTATTCAAAGAAATATTTATATTTATTGCTAGATTAAGTGCAAAAAAAGTCTCAAATATTGTCTCTAAAGACCATTCAAATAGCTCACAAAATTGCTTCTTTGCACATGTTAGGCTATTTAAAATTTTATTTCTCTACAAGGGAGCAATTCCCATTTTTGGGTCATTTTGCTCCTTTGCTCCTAGCTATTTGTTTGCACAGTTTTCCTTGGACATCTCATTAAGGACTTGCTGACTGTGTTGACTTCTATTGGTGAACAGCTGTGATCCTCAGTGCATTCAGAATTGATGACCCAAAAGTGTGCATCAAATGGACAGTAGTCCTAGAAAATAACTAGACACTTGACCCTGATATTTGAAACATGGGGGCACTAATTGATTTGTCAAGCCAGCACTTTCTCTTCCAGAAATGTTCATGTTTAGGGAAAAAGTAGCCTAGGATGGACCTGCTGTTGTTTAGAACATACTTGGTGATGGGACTTCCTTTTTATCCCCTTGTTTTCTCCCTCATGGCTGTCTTTATCTGGCTGTGGATCGTTTAGAGACTTGCATGACCAAATCATCAAGAGCATAAAAGGACTTCCCTGGCAGGGTGAAGATCCCTGTAGGCTGCTTCGGTCACTCAGCCGACTTCAGCAACCTCACATCCATTTCCTGTGAGTTTTGGTGCTCCTGATATTACTTTGCAAGTGCAACAATAATGAAGCAGTTATTACAGTCCAGAACAAAATGGTTATTTTTGTGCCAGTAGAGCAAGCTTCTCTTAAGATTAATTTAAACAATACAGAAACTGTGAGCAAACTATTTCCTCTGTAGTGGCTGCAGCTTCCTTTGCACTAGCTAATGCTAAATTCTGCTTTTGATACCAACTGGCCCCTAAACACAAATTGTATAGAACAAATCAGTTATTGGAACACTACAGAAAATCAAGTTTCACAACATAAGTACAATTTTTATAGCAGGCGTGCTGAGTGCCATTGAACCAAACTGTAAACCCCGTCTATGATGGAAACCACTTTAAGCCAGTGGGTGCAGCAACCCCCCTAATTCCAGCACCTATGAACATAAGCAAATATAAACGAATAGTTTCCCAAAGTGCAGGACATAGGCTAACAATACATACATTCCTAGATCCAGTGTCTTTAACTGTCAGGTGTATATATGTGTGAAAATGAATCTATAATAGGTTGTATAATAATGGGATATTAATTGCCTGACACTGATCTGGGGCACACCTTACACCAAAGGGTTAACACTGCAGGAATTAGCAGGGAGTGAAATGCAGCCCCATTCCCGAGGGATTCGTTTTCCAATTCACTGCCTCATTCCATTTGGTATCTTTGTGCCTTAGCCTAGGAAGTCCTGGAGATGATCTCATTAGTCAGGCCTTAGAATTCCTAACTGGCATGTTGGGGCATGTGCTGTCCAGCTGTGAACAGCTCCCTGCTCTCACAAAGTGATGCTGGGACCATAAGTGCATAAGTGTGATAAGGAGATTTCCAAAGACTGCACAGTTGGTTGTATAGACTAATAGCATGTGTTTTGTTTTTGTTTTATTTTTTAAAGCAAATACAGCATATGCAGCAATTAGTGTTTCTTTAACAGCTGTGAATTATATTTGTAGACAAAACATTTCCTTTTTGCTAATACTGCAGGTATTGGAAATTGGCAAAACCGTCTCCTCAAAAAGTGGCTTGCATTCCCTGCATTAATCAGTTATAAGGAACTCCTATGTATGCATGAACACCTCCTGAAGCTCTTGCATTCATTCTCTTCTGCTCTGCATCTTAACATGGTCTAATTTGCAAGGCATGGCTAACATGCTGAACTAACAAAAATCATATTATGTATTGTTTCTTAAACAATCTTTAATATTTTAACAGGAAGAGTAGAGGTACCAAACAAAAGCAGATCATTCCCAAGGTAAATTTATTCAGCACATTTTAAGATGTCTTGGGTTTTGCAAGTAATGAATATGCATCTTGCGTCAGGAAAGACTGTTCTAGAATATAGAAAAATCTCCATCTCCCTTTCACATCCAAAAGATGAGTTTGCTTTATAGGTACAGTTTGTTCTTTTATCTGAAGAGTTACACAAATATTTCTTGAATCCTCTTTCTGTAAAGCGGTGTGCATGTAATTGAAAGGCTTAAGGAATAGCTAAATATGTGGAGAAAGCACATTTCAGTGTTCCTAGAAGCCAGGAACACTCTTGTCCAGATACTATTATCTGAGGTAAACCTACTGAATTCTAGAGCTCTGGAGCTCGACTAGAGTTCACAGGTGATCTGTGACGCAGCCGGGCAGTAGAGACTACTTGTGGATGGAACCTACCTGCATTACGATATGGGAGGAGATGACACATGTGCAGAGCCACTGGGGCAGAAGTATCGGGGGGAGGCTGTGTGTTTTCCTTTCCTGTCCTTGAAGAAGAAATGGTTTCGGTATTTGGAAGAGGATGATTTAGGTTTAAAATAAAAATCATGAGACTCACTGAGGGCTTCAACGTTTTCCATATAACAAGTGTGATCACAGTTTATATAGATGTATGTTGACTGAGTGAAAACAGCAAATCTCTCTCTGTTCTAGAACTTGCTGGACTCCAAGTCTCTGAAGCTTATAGTGAGCATGACTCTGCATGATCGAACTACAAAATCCCTCTTACACCTACACAAAAAGAAGAAACCACCTAGCATAAGTGCACAGTTTCAGGTAAACGAGTTTCTGAACTGGAGATATGTAGATATTTCAGCCTTCATAGAGAATCAGAAACCACTGCTATGCCATGGAGTATGCAGTGAATGCACACCACTGAGGACCTGTCCCTGAATAGATCTGACTTCTGGTTTATTTCCTAAACCTGTTTGCAAGTTCTCTATATAGATGATCAGCTCATTCTCCTAAATCTTATGCAATCTTCTGACACTTGTGGTCTGCCCTGTGTCACCAAAAAAATAGGACCCTCTGGCAGTCAGCACCTATGGGGTAGGCGGTGATAGGTCAGTAATAAGCTACACAAACACCTAGTTCTCGCCATTGTTTCAGTATCTCCAAGGATTAGAGGTGAAGGTGTCCTCGATGTTTCTGGCAGAGAAAGGAAAAAACTAACACAAAAGAGATGAAATGGTGGCACCTAAGGCCCCCTATCAGATCAATTGTTGTTTGATTAGCCATAAGACTAGAGGGGAATTGTACTCAGAGGAGGAAGGTCCGCTATTGCCAAAATATCATCATCATCATCAAACACACACAGTGTACTAAGGACCGTTGTGCCAACCAGAGTGACCACAGTTGACAGCATCACACCAGGCATCATGTAGTGAAGTTCCAAATCTGGCTTTATCCTATGAAGGCCAATCTCTGGGCAGCCCCATGGGCAGTGCCAGGTATGATCTGGGTGCGCACCCCTTTGTGCGTTGATGGATAGTGAGAGCACAGTGTGCATGGGGTGCTTTTGTCCGTTCAAGCAACATGGCTAAAGAACATTCTTAGGTATTGCCAAAGGCAAATCAAAATAGTGATATTTGAAGAAAGAGTGTATTGAATGTCTCATTTCAGAACTCCCTCAATAAATTACTGGAGACCCTGGGGAAAGCTGAGCCATTTTTCATCCGCTGCATCCGCTCCAATGCTGAGAAGGTAGGTCACTCTGCCTCCCAGAGCTAAGTTGGTCTGATTACTGGATGTACAGATAGGGCATCCCCATCAATGTATCGTTGTCAACATGTTTGATTTTACTTTGCTTTAAGGCAGCGTGCAACTAGCATGTGTTAAAGGCAAATTGTGCTTTCTCGGATACTTGACAAAAAGATAGTAGTGCATGAAATAATTCTTAGCCCTTTCTTAGGTTTTTGAAGAGAATGTAATGAAAGCAAGGGACTCGTGTGTGTTGTGGGGAGGTATTAATTGATTGATGCCATCAACAAATGGCTTTTGTCAAAATAGCCATAGGAGGCCTCTTATAAAACTTGTCATCACAGCAGCCTTGGGGATTATGGTTCTGGCTGGTTCAAGGGACTAGCAACCAGTTCTAGCTCTACTCAGGTTGGTAGCAATAGGATGCAGTTACCATCAGACAGCTATTTGGTGGCATGTGTGGAATGAATTAGTGGGTCTCAGTACAGTTCTTTGTGGGTAGATGTCTGCACCTCAGGCATTTGGCGCTAGTTGCTCCGCTGTTAGTTCTAGCAGAAGTACCAAGAAGAATCCAAAGATGAATAGTAACAAGCATGCAATTCTTTGTATTATTTGGTTACTCTGGTTATTTTTTCTGCTATGCCGTGTAAAGTGCTGTTGCTCTTCTGTCAAGTGGTAGCAGGTGCCAGGGTCTTGCTGGTTGCAGATTTCTCCTCATCCAAAGGGAAACCAATGTGGAGTCTGGGTATTTTCTTCTTGCAGCTTGTTCATTTACACTGTAGACACCAGTCCTCGAAGAGAGGAGATCATAAACTGCAATTAGGTAATATGCTTATTCAGGAATCTAGTCCAAACACCAATGTCCAACTTCCAGGAAGCAGTTCTGCCCCAAGAATTCTAGTTAGAGAAATTAAGGCAGAAAGCAAACTTCTCCAAGCTTCCTCAAAGAACCTACATCACAAAATTAACAGTATGCAGTAGAACCTCAGAGTTATGAACACCAGAGTTACAAACTGACCAGTCAACCACACACCTCATTTGGAACTGGAAGTACACAATCAGGCAGCAGCACAGACCCAAAAAAAGGAAATATAGTACAGTACTGTATTAAATGTAAACTATTAAAAATAAAGGGAAAGTTTAAAAAAAATTTTTTGACAAGGTAGGGAAACTTTCTGTTCTTGTTTCATTTAAATTAAGATGGATAAAAGCAGCATTTTTCATCTGCATAGTAAAGTTTCAAAGCAGTATTAAATCAGTGTTTAGTTGCAAACTTTTTTGAAAGAACAACCATAACGTTTTGTTCAGAGTTATGAACATTTCAGTTACCAACAAACTCCATTCCCGAGGTGTTTGTAACTCTGAGGTTCTACTGTAGCATTTCTTTAAAGATTCTACACTGCTCACATGCTAAAAAGAACTTTAAAGACTATGTAACAGTGCCACTTTTTGACTCCTGCCATAAGAATACTGTCTCCAGCTGTGTGGATCTGGAGGGAAGAAATGTAAATGTTTTGGGGTAGCTTGCTTTAGGTGAGTAGGAGAAAGGAGTCACTGACAGAAAATCAGTGTAAATTCTCAGTAAGAGATCTTGTCTTTGAGGAGATAGTGTAAATTGTGTCCTGTATTTAGGTCTCTGTTTCCCTGTGTCTCTTTCAGAGGGAGCTATTCTTTGATGAGGGATTAGTGTTGCAGCAGTTGAGATACACTGGCATGTTGGAGACTGTGCGAATCCGAAGATCTGGTTACAGTGCCAAATATACATTCCAGGTACTTCGGGTGCGGTGGGATCAGACCAGTATGATTTGGGAAGCATCTGCTTCTATTAAAAACACACCACTTATGAGATACACAGGTGTCTTCACCTGTGTATCTGTAATATATGCCGCTGATGACCACTTGGACTCCGTTTCAGTTTCTGTGCTAGGAAATATCTGCTTAATCTAGCTCTGAAATCTCAATGAAATGCTATCTAAAAGCATGTATCATTAACCTAGACAGGTCCTGTATGTGCTGACAAGGCACAATCTGAACTCCTCTTGAGGATTATCTGTGTTGTTCTATTTATTGCATGTAGAAAATTTTAATGTCTCAGCTATGTATATGTCATTAGGCCTATCCCATTATAAAGTGATATACTTATATCCTCTGGATACGGCAGATATACACACATATCCATGTACTAAACATTAACTTGGATGTGAAACTGGAAGGAGCCAGCATTTTACAGGTTAAAAAATATTAGTGCAATTTTGGAATATTGATATTGGTGATATTAGTACTTCTTGAAATTAAGTTAAGTTATTTGGCCTGCAACGGTTTGGAAGCTAGAGCTAGTTAGAACTCCAGGCTCCTGAATTGTCTGCTAACTCTGGTCTCTCACTGTCTCTGTTTGTTACCTACTCAGGATTTCATAGACCAGTTTCAAGTGTTACTACCCCAAAATGCCAAAGCCTCGAAGGAAGAGATCTCAGCTCATCTGAATAAACTGAAACTGGACAAAAACAACTACCAAATAGGGAAGACCAAGGTCTGTAAAATGTGTCCTCCACTTCAGCCCCTGTAAGAAATACTAATGTGCTGAGTCTGCCTGTTTAGCTAGGCATCCCATCATATATTTGAATTTCTTTCTTCTCCTATCCACAGGAAAATGAACTGTTTTAAAAATTTGACTCTGTCTTCTCCGGGATATCTCAATTGCTTGTAGCTCCTCCAATCCCTTGTTAAGACAGCTAACGGCAGTTTCCTGGACTTGGTGCAGGGCTGTACCCTGCAGAGACCGCCTTTATACTTTAAGGACATTGGCTCTGTGGACTGTGGGCACCACTGGCTTTTATCACAAAGATCAGTGTTTCCATTTAGGAAGAGATTTGTGCTGCCTTCAGAGAAGTGTGTGGTGGAATGAGGGTTTAGTTAGTAAAACAGAATTTAAAATAGATTTTTGGGAGGAAGAATTCATGATGTTGGGCTTTACAAGTGAACCATATTCCCAGCCCTGTGTGGGACAGAATTGTCACTATCTGTCCTCCATTTATGTTTAATACCCAGAAAACTAAGAAATGGGATGGAAAGACTTATTAATGTATCCGATATAATGAACAGATGTTATGTGGCAGGAGGCAGCCATAGCTGTTTGGAAAAGGAAATGCAATACTCTTATAGGTTGAAAGCAAAGTATATGCACACCCAAGTATAGATAGTATCCCTGGGATGTATCCTTGTAAGAGATGGAGCAGTCTGGTACTGATTAATGGTCATGTGACCTTTTTTACTGAGTAGGTGTTCATGAAGGAGGCTGAACGACAGATGCTACAGGACACTCTACATAAAGAAGTGATCAGGAAGATTGTTCTCCTTCAGAGCTGGCTCCGGATGGTTTTGGAAAGGAGACACTTTCTCAGAATGCGGCAGGCAACCATTACTCTGCAGGTATGTGCAACTTGATTTTAGTGTGAGCTGCAAATCTCCACCAAAAACACTTCTGTGGCTGCTTCTGACCAATGAAATCTTGCTTCTAGACTTGTTGGCGTTCATACAGTATTAGGAGGGCATTGGAGAGGACTAATGCTGCCATTTACATTCAGTCGGTATGGCGAGGATACAGGGAGAGAGAATCCTACCATCAGCAGAGGAAGAGAATCTCCCTTGTGCAGGCTCTTGTCAGGGGACACCTACAGCGCAAGAGGTAAAGGAAAAGGAGTGATATGGTTCAGCCAGGCCGAAATTCAGATACCACTCAGGCTGCTTCAGGGCTAGTTTGCTATGGTTGCAGGAATGAATTCTTCATGATGGTGCATTGGCTCTACCAATAACTGGTGACAATCTGATCATCCTCCCTTAAGAAAGAAGAGTAAAAGCTGCATGTGGCCAGATTTAAACAGGAAGTGACAGCCCAGGCACTGAAGTTTTCAGGTTAAGCCAGAGTGCCCAAGCAGGCTACAATGGCAGCTTGCCCGGAGTGCAAGGGTTGCATCAGTATGGAGCAGGTTGCAGATGTCCTAATCGTACTATAAAGCTGCGGCTTGCAGAGACTACAAGGCTCCAGGCAGCCATGCTGGGACTTTAAAATTGAGGTTACCTGCTGGTTGTACTCTGTGAGCCATATTTAACCCACAGCCATGCTTCTTGTCCACTTCTGGGTTAAGCCTTTACATGTCCTGTCTTTAATGTGTTTTAACCTAGATTTCAACAAATGATTGTGGAAAAGCAACAGGAAATGCAACAAGCTCAAGAGGGAGAGGATAGTGTAAGCCAAGAAGATGGTAATGAACTAGCTTTGGAGCAGTTGGCTGTAAAACCTGAAATGCAGCCGGATCAAGGTGTTGAACAGATGACAGCAGGAGTAGATGAAGCTCAAAATGATCGAGATGAAAAACGGAGCCAAGCTATTGAAAAGGTCATTCCTTCTCAGAAGAGCATAACAGATGGCCATGAGAAGCTCACAAGCAGTCGGGAGAAACGGGAATCTCGCCGGCAAAGGGGTCTGGAACATAATAAATTACAGAATAAGCACGTCCTGTTCCCCTTAGAGGAGCAGTCTTTAGTATGTCAGGAAGAAGAAACCTCTGCTGAAGAGACTCCAGAAACCGTCCAAGAGCCAAACAAATTCACAGCAGATGAGACAGTCCTTCCAAAAGGTACAGAGGAAGAGAGAATCCCAGTGGAAGAAAACAAAACCCTTTCAGACACACAGGTCCCAGGTGAAATACTGGACAGTGATGTCTCCTTTCCCAAGCGAGCCAATGAATCAAAACAGGAAATACTACATAATAAGGATATCGATAAACTGAAAATTCAAGAGAACCAAAAGAATCAAGTAAAAGGCAGCCAGAGCTTCACCTGTCCTGAAAGGCCATCAGATCTCTCACTGCACATTAAAAAGAATCTTGCTCCCACCAGAAGCTTTCAAACTGCAGATGAGAATTATAAAAATAAACACCGAATCTCGAAGGTGGACAAAGATCCGGACAGCCCCCCCTCTTTCCAGATTCAGAGGTATCTGCATGACCCGGGAGAACTGAGGGACAAGCGGGAGAAATGGAAAGGAAAGAGGCAGTCAGAGGCTGGTCAGAATGATGTACTGAGCCAGTCTTTGGATGAAAGAAACCGAACTGGCCAATCCCCTCAGACCCTACTAGTGTAAGAACAGCTTTCCCAATTGCTTTGACAATTCTGTGGTCAGTAGCAGCTGGCTTTAGAGAAATCCATTATCAAAAATACTTAAAATAAAGGTGGGATGGGGAGGGGGAGGAGGTATTGTGGCAGCCTGTTCACCTGCCCCCCCCCAGTGTGGGGTAAAGAAATTCTATCTGAGCTTTAAAATTCCTGGGTTCTAAGGCCCTGATCCTGCAGTTAGATCCATGTGGATAAAACCTCGCACTCTTGCTGAGCTTCCTTGAAGCTAATGGGGTTTTCCAAAGGATCCAGTGCTACTGTGTGGATCCAGTTTGAGGACTGGGGCCTTAGCTAGTACATTAGTATCTGCTGTTTGTCTGCAGCTCTCGAAGAACTTCCTTTCCTACATCACTGGATAAAAGGTTGCTCCAAAATGGCCAATCTCTGCAGATCCCCAGCATTGGCTCCATGTTCATGGTAGACAAAATGTAAAGTAAAGAATCTTTGACTTTTAAATGCAAATAGATGGGAAGAGTGGTGGATTACAATAATACATGTCAATTAAGATTCTCCCACACAGGTTCAAAATCAACATGTGAGATTTTTAAAAAATGCTTAAATCTGCAGAATAATTCTCAGTAGGTTATAACTATTTTATGGGAAGTAAGATTTTGTCCTGAACTATCTGACACTATGAACTTTGATTCTTAAAGTATAAAATCTGGTTTTTCAATGCAGAGTAATACTCTTGTAATCTTATAGAAAAAAGGGGACTACTTCTTCGCTGGATGATATCGCTAACCTTGCTCAGTCTGTCACCATGATTCAGGTATTCACACTCTTCAGAAGTGTATTTCTATTTTCCTTACTTGCCTTATTAGGAGTGTGAAGCATAGGACCTTGTGTATTTTTGAACTGCAGTTTGTACTGTAAATGCAAGTTCCTTTTAAGTCAATCTTTGGCTTAATTTCCATGTAATAACCCCAGATGTACAGTACCTTCCCTCTTAACTTGTGTAAATTTGATTTTAAACATTAGCTTTAATAAAAATTTTAAATCTGAAAGGTTTCATGTGCTAGCTATTACACGGTAATTTGTGAATTGAATTTTATATGCTTTCACAAATGGAGTCCCAGATGAGGCTTTATATATAATAGGGCATCATCTCGCCACATGAGGGATCTACAAATTGAGTGAAGTGGATTCTTTCGATTGTTGTACAAAAACAGAACTTGGTAGATTTCTTAAAAGATAAAACTTAAATACATGAACTAGCACTTCCTTCATGGACTGGATTTTAAAGATAGTTCTATTTCTTTAATATTCTGTAGCCATCTCTGGAAACAATGACGCAGGAGAAGAGCAATAAGAAACAGACTGTGCAAAAGAAGTCCAATGAACAGTTATCGCCCTTGGATTCAGCTGTCTCAGTGCAGCCACCTAGCCAGCCGATGGATGCCAAGTACGTGTTGTGTGTGTGTCTATGGGATTGACTTCAGCCAAACGAACCAAAGAACATGCCCTTTCCATAGCATGCCCTGTTATGCCCAGGTATTGCACATGTCTCTGTGTATGATTATAGTGCTGTGGGACAAGGTAAGGAAAAACAAGAAATATTTTTTTCAGCCAATCAGCAAAAATGTGTTAGTACCAATGATAGATGTGAATTGCATTTTTTGTGCATTCATTGTCCCTGGAGCTTTGGTTCTAGCAATAGATTATTTCCCCAAAAATCTATTATATACATCTATAATTAATTTATTGACTGAATCACCATTTCAGATAATGTGTTATGCCCTCTCTCTGTGTTCTTGAAAGCTGTGAATTAATATGTGTAGTAAATATAATCCAGGTAGACACTCCCTCCTTCTCTTCCCTTCCTCTTGTCTCATGCTTTACCTTGCTAGTGCTTGGAACTTATGCTCTGGAGATTTACTCCTCTCTATCATGGGCGTTAATTGTACTGTTAAACACACCCTTTCTCTTAAAGCCTGTCTGTGTCTGTATAAAACAAGCTTCCATTACAAACATGTAAAAGAAACGTGCAACTTGCTTTTACTTTCAGATCCACATTTAAAAGTCCTCTGCGTAAGCTTCTGGGAAAGAAACCAGACAAGAAATACGTTAGGGAGTGTCCTGATGTAATGGAGGAAGGAGAGAATCTCCCTCTTCTATCGTGTATTCTGATATCAGAACCAGTGGAGTCACAAATATCAGAAGGTGAGTTTACTCCGCTCTGTTTGAGCCAGGAATGTGCAAGCAGTTAAAATAAAAAAAATAGGTTGAATGCAGAACCTTCACAGCATTAGACCCAACAGTGAACATCTCAAAACTTGTCCCTTTCAAATTCCCAGTGGTGCCTATGGATGGCAGCTTACCCTCATGTGTTCAGTGAAATTAAGATTCTGCAAGCATTAGAAATGTTCTGTGATCAAAGTTATCTTCATTTTTCAGAATAATCAAATCATATCTGACTAAAGCAAAACTTTAGATTCTGTTCTGCTTCCCATTGAGGCAATGTTTCTCAATAAGCCTTCTAATTTTACTAAATAAGCTGCATGTTCCTATGCAAAAGGGAAGTAATCTAAGCAGAGTTTCAGACTTAGTTTGTCCTCAAGGCTTCTTCTCTTGTGTAGTCTTAGGGCTTGTCTACACTTACCGGGTGATTGATGCCTCAGCGGTTGATTTAGTGGGTCTAGTGAAGACCCGCTAAATAGACCGCAGATCGCTCTCCCGTCGACTCCTGTACTCCATGGGAACGAGAAGAATAAAAGGAGTTGACAGGAGAGCATTTCCCGTTGACACAGCGCAGCGTGGACCCTGCGGTAAGTAGGTCTAAGCTACGTCTACTTGAGTTATGCTATTCACGTAACTCAAATTGCGTAGCTTAGATAGACTTTCCCCTATAGTGTAGACAAGGCCTTAATCTTAATGCTATATTTGGCCAGGCTTTGTCACCAAAATTATAGATATGGAAACAGTAATTCTTAAATGTGGTTGGCATGTCTTAAGTGCAAGAATGTTTGTTTAGAAAGGTGAATTAAATTTATACATTTTAAAATCAGAAGCTGTATGCATCTAAAACTCACTCTTGATGGATATTGCATCAATATATTCTATGCAGACATATCCACTCCAGCTAGATGCAATTGGACATGTTCAGAATGGTGTTCTGAATTTTTGGCTTCCTTGAATTTAACAGTGGTTTCTTTGTAGTTTTAACCATATAAATGCCCAGATTTGATCGCAAAGGGAAAACTGCAAGGCTAGAGTCTTGTCCAAGTCTTATCTTGCATCCGAAGAAACTTCTCCAGAAACTGTATTATCCTAAAAGTCTGTGCAGAGAATAAGATAATTGTAGACTTTTTTTGTTTACTTTAAATATTTCTGGTGATATGGATTTGACTTGGCCTTGTGTTAACTGGACATCGCTATGAAATGAGTTGTTTAAAAGCAGCTTCTATGATTATAAAATACAATAGTGACCCTTCCCGTATTGTTGGTGCCATGCTTTCCATTGTGCAGTGCAAGGGAGCTGAGGGAAGTAAAGCTGCAGAATTCTATCTTCTGCCTAGAATACATACTGATTCTTTTCCCCAGCTCCTTCTGGACACCCACATCGCCCCCAGGCAGGAGAGCGACCTGTGAAAGAAACTAGCAAAGGGAAGAGGTACCGTTCTCTTAAAATCAAGAAGATTTTAGCAGTGTCTGAGAAGTGGCCAGCTTCTATTATCCGTGAGATCACAAATGCCAATGAGCTGAAATACCTTGATGAGTTCCTTCTAAACAAGGTGAGATGCAGTGCAATAGAATGGAATGCAGATCAGTGTTGTAGGACCAGTTATCCGATTATGGTTCTTCTCACTCCATTTTTACTTCTTGTCAGCTAATATAAATTGGGGTGGAAGCTTTTCATGATTTATATTTTACGTTGTATATTTTCTCACCTTTTAAGATGTTGTTATGCCTAGATTTCCAGGGAAGGTCTGCTTAGAACTGTTATATGAACGGACCTGGAACATTTCTTTCAGCCCTGTTCAGTAGCTGCTGTATGTGGGGGTGTCCCTTTGACCAGGAGTTCCATGAACAGAGTGGCCATGGAACTGGGTCTTTAGCTATATCCTTCAAAGTACTATTGCTCATCATGACTTGCCACTGAATAAAGTGCTGTATCTTTTTGGTTTTCTCAAAATGTAAATCTGAAATTGCTGCTAGTAGGATTTCATGCAAAAGTGCAAGTGCTGAGTAGAAATGTCAGATTGCTTTGATGGGATGTTGTTGCCACTCCTAACAACCTGGAGGTGCCCAGCTCACCAGTGTGGAATTTGAAAGGTTATTCTCCCAGGTATCGTCTTCAGTGATGATTTAAGGGGAGGAGGGAAGTGATTTAATAACTTGACACAAACTAGATCCTGCTGGATTTTTTCTCAGTCCAGGTGTTCCTAATGCATATGGTGTTTCCCTCCCTTGGCAAGTCGCCCTTCATTCTTGTATACAGGCAGTAAGGTGACATTAACAAGAATGTATGGATAAGAAGAGCACAGTCATTGGAGAAGGAGGCAGAGACAAGTATTATCTTTCCATGTGTGACAGAACCCCTTAGTATTCTCAAGATGCATCAGGAAATCCCATTTTGGATAATTAGAAGCTTCAGACATGTCTGATCCAAAAGGATTAGCTTAAATGTAGTACAGACTGGCTGTTCTCTCCTTAAATATGATAGTGACAAATATCATTGCCTTTCAGATAAATGACTTGAACTCCCAGAAGTCTGCTACTGAATGTTTATTTTTTGAAGCCACAGAAAAGTTTAGAGGAAATATCAAAACAATGTACTCTGTTCCTGTAAGTAATATACTTTGTTAGTCCTAAAAGCGATGGGAATATCACACTGATTTTGCAAAGAGCTGAAGTGAAACATTTTAAATGAATGCTCTAGCATTACTTGTTTGTATTATCCTTAGTCTTTCAGCATCCAAATAGGAATTTCTAACACTGATTAAATATTTCAGTACTTTTTTATTTTAATGAGGAAATTAGGATACAAATGCCAGATCCTGCAAACTTACTCATACAAATAGATGCATTTCTTTCTTTCCCTTTCTCATCATCTCTCTGGCCACTGGTTACAGTGCTGCAGCAAAGATGGCAGGACTTTGTCATCAGCTCATCCATGTTGCTGCATTAGTTACCCAGTGGGTGACCATTAAAAATTATCCAACAGTGTTTCAACATTAAATTAATGGCTGAAAAAAAGAATGATGCACTTTATTGCACTGATGGTTCATATTTGAATAATGCCTTTACTTCCACTAGAACGGGCAAATCCATGTCGGCTATAAAGATCTGATGGAAAACTATCAGCTTCTAGTTAAAAATCTTGCAAAAGAGAGGGAAGAGAAAGACGTCAAGCTGGTTTTAAATCTCTTCCAATCCCTTCTCGATGAGTTTTCCCGAGGATATGCAAAAAGAGAAGAGTCAGAGCAGCATAAGGTATAGTACTTCCTTCCCGCTAGTCGTGATGGTTGGAAAAGTTGTTTTAAAACTGTTTAAAGAATTAGAACCACATTTTTCCAATGTTGTTGACATAGTCCATGTTACTTCAGAACATTTTCCCACCTTGGTGTTCTTTTTTGGAAACTTTTTTCCATTTATTAATCCTGAATCCAGCACCTGGTAATAGGTTTTTACAGACTTTGGGCAATTTATTTGAAGGTACTTCTCATTATTATGCATTTTTCAAGATACCGAAAATACTAAGATCAAGTTGGGAAGGATTTTTGCAAAACCTCCAAAGTTCTTGGTAGGGTTCAGCAATTCCAATGTTTTATCACCAGACAGTGACCCCCTTCCAGCGGATTCAGGAGATGGTTTGAACTCTGAGAGGAGCCTTATCCAGCTGTGTTATGCTAACAGGTGGAGGCTGCAATGTAGAGCCTCAGATGAAGCTGGAGTGGGGGCAGTAACATTGTGAGGGAGAGGAAATCTTTGGCGTTCACAGATTAATATACCTTTGTGTATCTCACTGCAGCAAAGCAAAACCCAGAAGAAGAAACGAAAACAAGAGCGTGCAGTGAGTAGTATTATTATTTTTTTTTTATTGTGGTAACGCACAAAGTCCCCCGCCATGCATGAGGTCGCACAGTACTAGGTGCCACAGGATCCTCCTACTGCAAAAAGCTGCTTATACTAATGTGGCTTCTTGGTTTGCAAACCAAACTAACGTCATCTCTTCTTCATGGAGCTTTATAGCTGTTATCTTCCACAATGCAGCAAGGTGTGCAGAACCGTTCCTGGAGGTGGGCCGGGTACCTCCAGAGTCACTTAAAACATTTTTATATATATATATATATAATTAAAAAAAAGGTTTTGCTGAAGATAATCACCAGCGCTACCAACCCAATGTAATAGATGTAACTCACCCTGGACAAGTGCAGTAATGCCATTGAAACTCCAATCACCGTTGTTGGGGGCTGAATGTCAAGTAATCTCTCAGGGCAAAGATCAAGGCATTGTGGATGGCTCCATGAAAATATTTGTACTGTATTGTGAACACGAGCCATCAGAACAGGGAATAAGATAGCAGTTCTATTAAAGGATAGAGAAAAATATCACACCAAAAAATAATGGCAATTCCTTGCCTTATAGATTTGGTCCCCTCCTCTCAGAAATTACGTAGAAGAAATATGAAAGGTCCAAGGAAGAGCACCAAGAATGATTAAGCATTTGGAAGGATTCTTGAAAGAGCAGGGCTTTTTCTTTTGGAAAGCAGAGGTGTCCTAGGAGATTAGCTCTCCCAGCATCACCAGTTGTTTTATATCCCTCTAGCCTGTCAGGGTTCTGTTTATTCCTGTCCCATCAAGCAAGCAAGGTGCACTTAGTGAAACTGAAAGGCCACAATTGTAAAACAGCATGTAATTGCACCGTGGAACTTGCAGTGGTAGGATGTTATTGAGCCAAATCCAGGCAATTAGGTGGGTTTTCACCACTTGCATCAAATTTCTAGCATTGGCTTCTGGATTAGAAGAATCACTGGTCTGTTGTCTTGTGCAGCCTGGTGTGTTCCTAAATGCATACATCTCACCTCACCTGGGATGCTTTTTAGGACAGACTGTTTTTTTTTAAATGAGGAAATTGTTTAAAGGGGAGGGCTGACTGCTAAATGTTAGTAGCAGACTGCATCTGATGGGTGACTGGGTTAAAGTAACTGTGTCTAATAAATGCCTTAATTATGAAACAGACCAACACTAATTATCTTGGGTTGAGAGCAGTGGTTCTCAACCAGGGGTACACAGAGGTCTTTTAGGGGGTACATCAACTCTTCTAGATATTTGTCTAATTTTACAACAGGCTACATAAAAAGCACTAACGTAGTCAGAACAGACTAAAATTTCATACAAACAATGAGCTGGTTATACTGCTACATTACAGTGTAGCCTATATAGATGTACAATATTTATATTCCAATTGATTTATTTTATAACTATATGGTAAAAATGAGAAAGTCAGCCATTGTTCCGTAAAAGTGTGCTGGGACACTTTTTGGTACTTTTATGTCTGATTTTGTAAACAAGTCGTTGAGTGAGGCGAAACGTGGGGTATGCATGACTCCTGCAGGGGGTACAGTCGTCTGGAAAGGTTGAGAGCCACTGGCTTAGCCTTACACCAGAAGTCAGATTTCCCTCTATCAGTTTGAATTGTGGAAGAGAGGAGAAAAAATAAGGTGGCGATAGCTCAGATTGTTTCTAAAGAAAATAAACAAAGGGAGCTATTAACTTCTCCCCTTCCCCCCACCCAGATTGAGGAGCACAATGGCCATGTGTTCACGAGCTACCAAGTGAGCATTCGGCAGTCATGTGAGCAGTGCTCGTCCTACATCTGGCCTATGGAGAAGGCCTGTCTTTGCAGTAGTAAGTGGAAATGGCTCATTCTTGCCATTTGGTTTTTAAAAATTGAAGATCCTTACCACTTTGGTGGGCACAGTTGTGCCCAGGCATAGCCTTGTTGGTGGGGGTCTGGGCTGAGAGCGCTTTGCAAGTGGTGGGGCCTGGGCAGGAAAGACCTTGCAGGTGGAGGGCACCTGAACAAGTTGCCATGGGGGTGCATGTGCAAGCTGGCTGGCACAGGTGGTAGGTAGGGTTCTGGCAATTCTTGCCAGCCACTTCATGGAGCAGCAGCAACACCATCACTCAAAGAAACTACATGTCCCTTTTCTGTGGCTGAAGAGTTCAGGATGAGGTGAAATGAGGGAGGAAAACCTCCTGACCACTTGGGTTTCCTAATGACTTGAAGTGATATTGGCATATCCCAACTGGAGCAGTCCTACAGCTAAGAATATTTTTCCATCTCCGATGCAGAGGGTAATCTGTATTTTGGGGAAAACTCCAGTATGCAGTTTATTCAGATTCTATAGAGACTAACAGCAAATGGGAAACAGAGGAAACTCTGCATTTGAATCTGCTTTGATCTGTTAGTAACAGTCCCTCTCCTCTGTAGCCTGCAAGTTGATTTGCCACAAGAAATGCATGTCCAAAACTCAGAGCTGCTGCACATCGCCCTGTGGAAAAAAGGTAAGAGAAGTCCTTCCCTCAGAGTACACATGTGTAATGTGTTAGACCAACTGTTAGGCAGTGATGGCCTGATTGTACCAACAACTGAAAATCTCACCCAGTGCCACAGCCCAGACGCCATTCTCACCAGTGGGCGTCTTGTGACCAAAAGTTAGTAACAAGCATGGCATAAAACATTCAGCTTTCATTTAGGTGTAGCAGGAGGTCCTAACTTAAATGAGGTTGGTAGCCTGGAAACAGGAATCCATGTGACACTTGACCTGTATCAATTCCAGAACGACCAAGGTGTAGACTCCCGTCACTTCGGAGTGTGTGTGAGTTCCTTAATTAGCGATAAGAATTCAGTCCCAGTTGTCATGGAGAAACTACTAGAGTATGTGGAGATGCATGGCCTCTACACAGAAGGAATCTACAGGAAATCAGGGTCAGCAAATCGCATGAGGGAGCTGAAACAGTTGCTGCAGACAGGTATGTCTAAATAATGCTGTCCACCTTTCCTGCTTCCCAGCACACAATTCAGCTGCCCTGCTATTCTGAGAGCATCTGTAAGACTATTTCTTATCAGAAAAACTGCTCTGCACTAACATGTGCAATATGGAGCCTGTATTACTGATTAGCTTGCTAATCTGTTCATGCTCATAAATGTATATCTTGCAGGCACATTTTGAGTAGTCAAATGGGCTCCAGGGGAGTAGATAGGCTAGTGCTTGAATTCTTTGTAGGCTCCCTTCTTTGGGAACTGATTGTGTGCATCAAAGGAATCAAATGGGCTAAATCTAGTAACTCTCTTTTCAGATCCAAATTCAGTGAAACTAGAGAATTATCCCATTCACACCATCACTGGCATCCTGAAGCAATGGCTGCGAGAGTTACCTGACCCACTCATGACTTTTGCACAGTACAGTGACTTTCTCCGAGCAGTAGGTGGGTTTTGTCAACAATTTCTAGAGCAACAGGAATGTTTTCACTTGTTCTCTGTCTTGGAGAAGGATTTAGTGCCCCGGCACTAACTCTGTGTGTTATATGGCCTCTTCCTAGTCATCTCTACAGCAGTCACTCTAAAATTTGTCCTAGGAAACAGAAATTCCTGGGGGAAAATCCATTTTTTGGCTTTCTGATGTCAAGATTCCTGTCTCACTTTTCAGAATAGCAGCATCTATAATGACACTCCCCTTTCTTGGGGGGGGGAATGTTAGTATATTAAGTGCAAAATATGTGAACAGACCTGGAGTCTGACATTCCTTGCATTTGTCACTCTGTCCTTGCCATGCTGTTACAAACATGTGAAAAGGGGGGGAAACTAATACCATCTGGTGTGTGCTGTTGTCAGTCACTATAATCGAGTGAGTAAATGAAGTGACAGCCAAGGCTTCTGAAGTATTAAGCAACACAAGAGGTTCAGAGATGGTTTTAGCTTAAGATCCCCAAACACCTCCAAGAGCATTCACGTATTCTGGCATTAATTGCTGGTGCTTTAGAACTGCTGTGAGCTCCTGAGTGTCCTGAGATCTTGCTGTGCTCGTCTCTTCTTATGCAGAGTTACCAGAAAAGCAGGAGCAACTTGTTGCCATTTACAGTGTCCTTGAACAACTCCCACAAGCCAATCACAACACCCTGGAGCGACTCATCTTTCACCTGGTCAAGTAATGATCTTTCCTTTCCTTTGGGGTTTATCTGCGCTGGGTCCATTCTCTCGCTGGTGTCACTTTCCAATTACTGTTAAAAAAGCCACGTAAACCAGAGATAAATATATTTATCATGTGGAATTTTGAATTTGTCTTGGAAGCTTTCTGACCGCCTGACCCTTTTTGGGATCTGAGTGGGGATTTTACTGCTTTGTGTGAAAGACTGACATGACCAGGGTGAGAATTTAGGGTTGGCAGTTTGTGTGCACACATGTGCTCTCTCTTTCCTGCAAGCCAGTCTAATTGTATCAGGTGAGCCAAGCAGCATTAGCTCTGAGAGCACTGCAAGTCCTAGTTGAGTGGTGGTGGGTTTGAGCAGCCTGGAATGCAGGGATTAGTGTGGTTGGATGGCAGATACTATGAGGATGTTAGCGCAGTTGAATGGCAGAAGCAACATGAGCACTGTAAGTGTTCTAGTGATGAGCTGGGTACTGCTGGCAAGGGGGCATGAAGTGGAAGGATCTGCTTTCAGCTGAGGGGACCCAAGTAGGAACCTGAAAATAGAGTGATAACTGACTCACAAGAGAGGGGGGCACAGAGTGGCTGGCCAAGGCACATCCAGGCTACCTCCGTCTACGTGGATTCATGTTCTCTTTCATGCAACAAGATGTAAAATTCACTTGTTTAAAAAAAAGTTTCCCTAACCTCTTGCGTGCATTGAACCTTCTGGAGCTTCCCCCCTCAGCTGCCATGCTGAGACACTAGCAAAGTTTGATCAGATCATTTGTTTTCTATCCAGATTTACTAAGAAACTTTCATTTTGTTCCAAACATTGAATTTCAGAGTGGCCCTAATAGAAGACGTCAACCGTATGTCACCCAATGCTCTGGCCATTGTCTTTGCTCCATGTCTCCTGCGCTGCCCTGATAATTTTGACCCACTAACCAGTATGAAGGACGTCTCAAAGACAACCATGTAAGTCTCAGCACTTGGCTTGCTGCAGAAGTCTGTATGAGGTGAAATTGCCCTTTCAGCTGGTGTGTGTCTCTGGTGCTGTCATGTGCACCTTGTCTATCTCTTGCAGTTTGATTCATGTTAGAGCTATCCAATGTAACAAACTGTTCGAGCCCTGTGGGCAGGATAGGCTGGAGGACTGAGTGCAGAATTAGGAGCCAGTAAATCCTGAATTCTAATCCTAGCTCTGCCACTGATGTCTGTGGCTTTGGCACAACAGGCCCCAATCTTGATGAGGATATCAGGATACTACTGTAACTTTATTAATAATTAAGAGTCTTAACAATTCTGAATTCAAACTAATGCTAGAAAATGTTATAAATCTGATTCCTTTGTGTTGCAATCAGGGCTTGGATGGATGCAGGGGGATATGTACAGCATGGTGGTATTAATCTATATGTGTAAAATAAAATCATAATTTGGCCAAAAAGTAGCACCATTCCTGTATAAACAGCTGTCCTATAGCTGTATTGAGATAGGAGCCATTACTTACATGGTATGGCACAGAAATTAAACACTGACACTTGCCTACTTGGGAGCCCTTCAGCCTTTACCTCTGAGCCTCCCTTCTTAGTTGAGAGTTGTGCCCATATCCTCTTTGTGCTAATCACTAGCATCGCTGGCCTTACTGCAGCTTCTCTAGCTCTCTCTGCTTATCCCCACCCTTCCTACGCTGCTGGCCTTGGACCTGCCTCCGTCATTTTAAATAAAGAGCCAGAGCAGAAATGAAAGAAATGTTTGAAAAATAATAAAGCAGTGGCTTTTTCCAACTTCTGATTCAGTTTGCTCTTCCTGTGGGGATGTAAAGGTGGACAAGGGCAGTTGCCGGAACATTCTATATCCACCAGTGTCTGTGCCGGAGCAGGGAGAGGACAGCAGGTAGAGGAAATAGAAATAGCTAGTGCCATGGGTGATGCTTGTTCACTTACCATTGTTGCATGGAGACACAGTGTGCAAGGTTCTGGGTATCCAAGTAAGAACATGTATCATCTGTAGCACTGCTTTTGGTTGTGCCCAGTCCTGCTTGTCTGTGTAGACTCTTCACCCTGCACTCATACAGCACCACCCTGTAAAGAAAGTGCCTCTGGAGACTTTGGTTTGAGAGGGGGCCATCCACATGTGTGTCTAACATCCCTGAGCTGGGTGTATTCACTGGCAGTGTTTTTGAAGATCTGTCCATGTGTTAGTGACACATCCCATCCCCCATGGTTGTCCCCAAAGCATGTGTAAGTATCCAGGGAGTAGGTTGCTGAATGAACTCTTGCACTTTCACACAGGTGTGTGGAAATGCTAATAAAGGAGCAGATGAGAAAATACAAGATTAAAATGGATGAAATTAGCCAGTTGGAAGCAGCTGAGAGCATTGCTTTCCGCCGACTCTCATTGCTCCGGCAGAACACGGTAAGTGCTACAATGAGTAACAGCCCCCACATCCAACAGGGGCTCTATCGTGGACTCCTTGGGGTGGGGGAAATGCACGATAGCCTCACCATTCCCAGCCTGCTCAGCTTGTCAAAGACCAAATGCTGGTTACTGATCTTGGATTATAATGAAAAGGGGGTCGGGTCGGCCCAGCCCAGTGTTGCAGTGGGAACTAGGCCTCTTTCCATGTGGAAGTGTGAGTTTGAATGAGCTCAGTGTGCTGGGGAGGGAGCCCCTCTTGATGATGTAAGTACAGAGAACATCTGGGCACCAGCCCAGCAACTCCGTAAGTAGGATTGTGAAGTGGTTGTGCCTGTTCGGTGCCAAGTAACCTAAAGGGGATTCCTTCATTTCAGAGGATATGGTGATTCACTTGTTCAAAGTGTGCTCTCACTTTAGTCTCTGATACTTCCATGAAAAACTCAGCGATGCTGAGTGTGCCAAAGTCCCCTTTCTGACAGCTTCCTGGACAGTTAGCTCTGCAATGGCATGGACGGTGATCAAAAGCATAATGTTTGGGGTGGGAGCAATCATAAATTATGTATCTATTTGTGCATAGTACAAAGAGCTGATATCTTTTCTCTAAGGCACGGTGGTTTAGTATAAAACATGAGTCACCCACTCAGAGATCTGGATTCTGTATCTAGTTCTGCAACAAACTCCGTGTGTGTCTTTGATCAAGTCATGTCACCTCTCTGGGACTCAGTTACTGCTTCTTTCAAGCAGGAGCAATGGTATTTGCCTCCAAAAAGGCATAGGTGCTGGAACTACGGGTGCTGGGGCTTGAAGTAGTTTCCATGATATACAGAGTTTACAGTTTGGTTCAATGGCTCTTAGCACCCCCACTATACAAATTGTTCCAGCCCCCCTGTCAAAAGGAGTGGTTTGAGGCTTTCCTAAGAAGTTGTGGAATGCAGAGAATTAAGGCCCTTGAATGGAAGAGGTGGGCCTACTACTTCGGGCTCCTAGCCCCAGTGTTCATTTTTCTCAGCTGAGGAGGCAGTTCAGAGAGATCAGAGGGACGAGCATCCCTTTACCAGATACTGGTTGACTGGGACTAGGGGACTCGAGAGATGAGTGTATAGCTTCAAGTGTGCATACGGTACAGGCTGCCAGCACTGGGATCATTGTCAGATTAGTAACTCCTGCCCACGCTACTGCCCATGTAAGAAGAGCAATTTCCAAATGTGGCACAATCAACACGGAGTGTCACCAGGACACTTTCCTTTGTGAGGGCTATTTCCCTCTTTTTGGCACTAGAGTGGCTTTAAACAATTTTTTTTTTTGTATAATTACATAAGGACATAACGGCCAGACTGAGTCAGACCAAAGGTCCATCTAGCCCAGTATCCTGTGCTCTGACAGTGGCCAATGCCAGGTGTCCCAAAGGGAATGAACAGAACAGGGAATCATCAATTGATCCATCCCCTGTTGCCCATTCCCAGCTTCTGGCAAACAGAGGCTAGGGACACCATCCCTGCCCATCCTGGCTAATAGCCACTGATGGACCTATCCTCCATGAATTTATCTAGTTCTTTTTTTAACCCTGTTATAGTCTTGGCCTTCACAACAATTAGTAAAAGTTAGTTAATTTCCTGCTGTCTTAAATGGCTGAATAATTTTTGGGGGAAAGTCAAAAACAAAAAATCCACTTTAAGCAGGAACCAGGCCTGGAAAAATTTCAACCCAAACGGGGGGAGAGTTTTACAAAGCTATGAGTGACTGAAAATGGTGGTTATCATGGAAATGCTGAGGTAACCCTAACTATAGTTGCTCTCATGGAAGTGGTACCACAAAACTTCCTAATTTAAAATGCAAAAAGAAAAGCTCTTTGGAAACATATCTGGAGGCCAGAGGTAGAAGTGTAGGGAGTGAACTGGAGTTAGGGAACTTGCTGTGAAACTTGACAAAGAGTCTGGTGGCACCTTCTAGACTAACAGACGTATTGGAGCATACGTATTCACCCACGAAAGCTTATGCTCCAATACGTCTGTTAGTCTATAAGGTGCCACGGGACTCTTAGTCTGGTTCTGTAAAAAGCGACAAACACGGCTACCCCTCTGTTGCTGTGAAACTGTTGTACATGTGGAGCTAGGATTTGAGTCAGCCCAAGTGAAAAGCCGACACACATCACTGTGTGCGCTTCCAGTGCTTTACAAGAAATTCCGTCAGTGTCAGACATGTGACCACCCCTACCCCAAAGGACTTGCAGTCTAACTGCACAAACAAAGGTTCTCAGTACCAAACAGAACTTGCACTGAGTGAGACTTCTTCACAATTCTTTGGCCTCATCATGCCATTGATTTAAAAAAAAATTAAGGCAGAACTTCCCTCCAGACTTCACTGTGGAGTTTTGCTTTAAAATCAATGGGATGAAGAGAGCCTTTTGTTTGGCAGTTAAATAATGTTAGACAAGTATGTGTTAACCTTGCATGTCTGGTTTTAATCCTGGATGTAAGAAGTGTGACAGCCAAGCAATGAGATTCCACATATGGACCTCAAGATAGTGGCCTTCGATTTGCTGATTCAAAACCTGATACAGTTGGTCTGTATATAAGTGAAAAATACTAGAAATCTGATACAAGTGAAAAATCAGTTAGAAGTTAAAAAAAAAAAAAAAACCCGAACCACCTAGATCTGTCTGACCTATAATAAGAATTAGAAAACTACTGATATGACTCCAGTTGATACTGCCAACAAGTTGCTTTAGCAGGTTAAAATATGTTCAATGGAGTAAGAAGGTCTTTGATAATGAAAGGTTTCAAAGTAGCAGCCATGTTAGTCTATCTGCAAAAAGAACAGGAATACTTGTGGCACCTTAGAGACAAACAAATTTATTTGAGCATAAGCTGTAGCCCACGAAAGCTTATGCTCAAATAAATTTGTTAGTCTCTAAGGTGCCACAAGTACTCCTGTTCTTTTTGATAATGAAAGATCCAATATCTTTGTGCTTGGGTAGATCAAAATGTTTTTAAAACCTTAAATATTGCTTTTATGGAACCTCCAAACACATACAATGCAAAATATCAGTGATAGAACTATCGACATTACCATTAAGTCTGACATCAGAAGAGTTGCATTAAAACTTTGTATCAAAAAAACAACTTTCTGAAGTTACCATGATTTAGTGAATTTGGTCTTCATCTTTCTCTAGCTCTGGCCTGTAAAACTTGGGTTTTCTTCTCCTTATGAGGGGGTGCTGGTATGTACAAGACCTGATGTGTTTATAGTGCATGGTTAATTCTCCTATGGCACCACAGCATGACAGGACATTTGCTGCTTATTATAACTTATGTGGTATGAAATAAATTTCAAAACATTCCAGACTGCATGCATCACTGCAGCCCTTTCCCCAGAATGCATGCACTGCTATTATCCAATGCCTTCCTCACTTCACTATTTCTTATTAATGAAGTTCTAACCTGTGCTCATACTGAATGGAACAAGAATTTGTAGTTAACTCTCACAGCTAAACAAGTGTTGGCAAACGTACTCTCTACATTGAAAAACGTGAAAAAAGAAAAATGTTAAAATAAATCAGTTGATTTTAAATTTTCAAGGCAAATTAAAACTACTGTGTGACCTATTCAAACATATCTGTATATATGGAATGAATTACTAACACCCCCCCACACACACACTACCTCTGTGGGAGCCCTTCACTTGCCCTATTTTCGCCTGCCTGTCTTTTATAACTAACTTTCTGTCCAGAGGTAATGTGAGAGATCCTACTCCTGATCATGAAGCATGACACATCCAACTTTTTTACAGAGTAAAAGCCCCCAAGACAAGGGAAATGACAACAGCTTCCCTGAGCTGGGATCACTGCGGGAGGAAGATGAGGTGTCTGATGTTGATAACCGGGAAAAGGAGATTCTGATAGAACGCATACAGTCAATAAAAGAGGAAAAGTGAGTCCCGGCTTCACATTTCTAATTAAATCCATTATGCTTATGCCTCATGTCCTGGGAGGCAACACAGCATGCTGCTTTACTTCTGTGTTGCATTTCCAACATAATTTACAAAGTCAGAATGGAGAAGAGGAGAGGCAGTAAAAGGTAACAGGCAAAGGAAATATTTTCAGATGAAATTTGGTGAGGTATAGGTCCAGGACTGCTTTGCTTCTAAAGTCTGCTCTGCCTAGAATAGTTCATGTCAGCAGCACTGGTAAATATTGTAAGTCAGTGTCTTTCTGGAGTGCTACGATCTATATGTGTTTGATGCAGGGAAGACATAACTTACCGATTGCCTGAGCTTGACCAGCAAGGCTCTGATGAGGAAAATCTAGACTCTGAGACCTCAGTGAGCACGGAGAGCCTGCCAGAGGACCGAATAGGGCGGCTGGATACTGAAGGTCAGTATTAAGGTAGTGTGTGCTTTTTTTTTTACCTTCTACATTATTTCATATTTTACATATTTTGTGACATCTGGTCAGAACCAGTCATGTCAATTTACATTTTTTAAAATGCACTTTAATTCCAAGTCGCTTTTCCTTTCTTTAAAGGAACCATGCTGTCTGAATTCCAGTGCCATGGTCAGTGCCCCAGTGTGCCTGCCAAAGACTCTTGTGGAGGACCCAGCATTTCTCTTCCTCTGGCCTCTACATTCTCCTCAGTTACAAGGCGCAGACCATCATCAATGTTGGTCAAGATGAAAGTCCCCTGCCGAAATCCAGTGATGCCGACGGCAAATATAAAACTTCCGTATGGGATTCCCAAACTGACAGAATCCCAGGGAAGAACAACAGCTGAAGAATCTCAGCCAGTGGTGAGACGGAGGGACCGGCTAGCAAGGCGAACTGATAAAATTCACTCCGTATACATTGCACAAGGGTCTGTTGTGGCCCAAACTCAGGAACCTTTGGACGAATATGAACCAACAGCAAAAGTGAAGCGGAGGTTTTCAGACCCTTACTCACGCATTTCATGCATAGATGAATTAAATATTTAAAATGTTGGAATTTTTTAAAAATTGGGACCACAACTTTTAGCTCTGACCCTCCTTTAAGGATTGTGAACTTGTGCACTTGCCTTAAGAAGTCATTGGAGTCACAGTCTGGAACTCTCAGCACTCTAAGGGTTAAGCAGGGTTGCTTAAAACAAACAATATCCTGCTATTTGTAAACAAATTAAAAGAAACTGGTGGGGAAGGGGGAAAGTAGAATCTAAATCTGCTTTGGTCAGAGTAAAATACAGAGACTTGAGTCTGCAGGAAGACTCTAGTGACCTTAGTTTCTCCTGCTGTGCCTTTTTGTATTTGCTTACGATGGGCTCTAATAGGTCCGAAGGTGAATTAGAGTCCCTAGGTTTTGCCTTACTCCATTTTTTTTGTATGTTTTATGAGAAGTTCTTTTGTGGTTTACAGAATTGTTAATGTAATAGCCTTAACTGAGACCAAAAATATATAAAAATGTTTATTAATACATTGCACTTTTTAAAAATACTTGTGTTAGGTTATCAATGTCCTACTGCTATAGTGTCTGCCCTTTCCAGAGAGCCCTTTAGTAGGAGAGAAGACACTTGATTCTGAGCAAAAGTGGATCTGCTTCCCTGAGATTTGGATGCCATTTCCCACCACTTCCATAAAAGGATTTGGAGAGGGTTCTGCAGAGTAAATACCAATCACCAAAGGCCGTGTAACCATGGAATGTTTCTGAGAGTTCAGTGTTTTGTGTACAAGTATAACCGCATTGCTAAGCAAATGCAGTTGTTGCAGTGGGCAACTTTGTGCAAGGCTTTGTTCAGCATATGTTGTGTATCACAATGCTGCAAAAGTCACGGAGGGTCAGGCATGAGGACATGCAAGCACAAACAGCTTCTAAAACCTGGGCCGTGTGAGTCAGTCTGAGTTTACTGTTCAGTCTCTCCTCTACCAATGTGAACTGTGAGTGTAGATGGGGCCAGCTGACTTTCTGGCTGATATGAGGAACTCTGCTTACTGGCTCCAATCAGGAATCCCGTCCAATCTCCTTATTGCAGAGTGCCAAGCACTACATACATGTTTGTTAGAGCTGGTAGGAAGATGGAGCTTTTTCCCACGGAAAATTTTGAATTTTTAGCAAAAAAAAACCACACTAAAAAAAACAACAAAATCACATTTGGATTTGGAAATGTTGTTATGGTGGCTCATGGGAATTGTAGTTTGGGTGCCTCAGTGCCACCATGCTCCTTAAAGGCTGGTCTGACTATATCTCTCATGATACACCAGCGTGTCTTAGTGGGAAGGGTCAGGCATTACAACAGTCACAGAGCTGTAGGGCATCATGGGAGAAGAAGTCTAACTGGAAAACCTGCCCCAGAGAGAAGAATGGAAGCACAGGAGACCCAAACTACAACTCTCACGTATCCTTCTGTTTTCAGACTTTCAATAAAAAAAATCAAATTTTTCCACAGAATGCAGATACTTTTTACAAAAAATTAACTGAGAACCCAATTTTCTGAGGAAAGAAGTCTTGATAGAGAACATTCAGCCAGTCCTGCTGCTTTATTATAATTAAATGTGCTGCTGTAACAACTAGTGATGAAGGAACCAACGTTGCACCCTGCACTCAGAGCTGCTGTTGAGTCAGGGGGGAGCGCACACTGACATAAAAAGGCACTCTGGTAGACCCTAGCAGGGGGCGTTTGCTGCTCTAAAGCTTAGAGGTGAGCTGGAAAACTCGAGCAAGGTATTTAACTTTACAAATAGGTGCTGAATGCCCCCATCAGTCAGGTAGGGCATCATGAACAAAAACTGTGCTGCTTTTTTCTTTCTTGGCATATGACACGAAATTAGTGGGCATAATTTAAAAAACAAACAAAACCTATACCTCCTATCTGAGATCAGAACAGAATTAACCGCCATGGTGCTGAGTAATCATTTTCTTCTACTGTGCACTATCAGGTAGCCCCAAGCACAAATTGAGGCAGGCTACTAAGACTCTTTAAAATACCTTCCATATACCTTGAAAGGTGTTTTTTTTTTATATATAGCAAAAACATATACAAAAATGACCATGCCTTTTATAAACTGGACTAACCTCATCCTGTTCTTGCTTGCCATCTGTGGGTTTTGCGTTGAGGGGTAGTGTCACATCAGGATGCATATGCTGGAGCAGAACCTAGATGGCCGCAATGGAAGGGAATGTCACAGGAACAGAATAAATCCAGTCTTAGCTGACCCCTGTCAGTGTGTTCAGTACAGTATAGCTAGGCATAAAGCGTCCTACCTTAGGTGGTCATAAGCTAAAGTGGACAGACAACACTGCCCAGACCCAGTCTACTAGCTCAACTGCCAGTGGATGTTCTCCCCTCCATATACCCCAGGTACTTCGCAGTGGAGGATGATTATTTGAAGGTGATAGTGAAGAAATATGTTTCAAGGAGGAATTTTCTCCCAAGTTAGGGGAATTAGGCAGCTGTTTTGTCCCTATTAACAGCAGGCCTGTGAGCTGGTTACATGAAACAAAGGCTGTAGCTCAAATGTAAACCTATTTCAGTGTTAAACGTCTGTGAGGTTCGCTCCCGTCACTCGTTAGGGACTGGGCTGTCCAGGCGCGCGGGCACGGGGCGGGGTGACAGGTGGAAATAGCAGTGGGCTAATAAAGGTTTTCCGTTTGAAATGGCCTTAGCGCCGAGCTGGGTCACGCGGCCCTGGACCAGCCGCTGCGTGACCCGGGCAGCTCCGACGGACTGGACTTGCTCGTGCGTTATTTATGCCCCGGCTGGAGGGGGCACTTGGTTCCCGGGACTGGGCGGCTCCGCGCGCCGGCAGAGAACGCGGCTTCAGCCCGTGACTGCGCCCACGTCTCCCCACGTCAGCAGCGGGCCGCCCAGTGACCGGGCCGGCGGGGGGGCTGCCGCCCTGGGGGCGGGCCCGGGCTGGCTCTGCGCAGGCGCCGCGGCAGCCCCTGGGGGGAGCCCGGCCGCGCCCTGAGCTCGGGGACCGCGGACCGCCTCCTTCCCTCCCCCCCCCCCGGGCTGTTTTGCTTCCCCACCGGTGACGTGTCCGCGCGGGCGGCAGCCCCGCCCCTGCTACGTGGAGGCAGCCGTTGCTGTTTACATTGGCAGCCGCCGCTGACCCGGAAGTGGAGTGTTCGTGGGCCGGGTTCCGGTTCCGGGTCGGAACGATGGCGGCTACTCGCCTGGAGCTGAACCTGCTGCGGCTGCTGAGCCGCTGCGAGGCGCTGGCGGCCGAGAGGCGGGAGCCGGACGAGTGGCGGCTGGAGAAGGTGCCGGGATCGCCCCGGGACGCGGGTTTCGGGGCCCGGCCGGGAGGCGGCGTCCCCGGCAGTCTCCAGCGCCGCCGGCCCCTGGCGCTCCCGCGGCTCCATCGCCGGGGGGCAGAGCCCCTCCCCCGGGCGGGGGCAGAGGGGTCCCCGTCCCCCCCCCTCGGCTGTGCCCCCTGCTTTCCTGCGAGCGGGGCTCCAGCCCCGGCACCTTCCCTTGCCCGCCCCACCCCGCTGTGGTGCCCTGGCTGCTGCCCGGCGCCCGGGGACGCTCTGCAGCGCCTGAGGCTCTTTCTCTCTTGTAGGATCCCGGGGGACGTAACGCGGCTCTATAGCCCTCTAATGATGCCGCACTAGCCTAGCAAGTGCGGAGGGCGGGACTGGATTTTGCAAGTGTGACTGTAGCAGCACAGTTCTGCCTGGCTCGATTATCCCGTTCTTTAGGCTGGGAGCAGGCCCTGGTCCTTTTCCCGCTGGTGTGTAGGCCCTAGTTGGGTGAAGTGACCAAAGCAGCTTGATGAGCCATTTTGTCTGCAGACTTCTCAAGCTGCTTCTTTGAACGGCTTTGCCTATGCTACAGTGGAATGTCAGAGTCTTAGTCATAAACCTTAACATGCTCATGTCTTTGATTACCCTGGTAGCTGCAAGCAATGTGACTGGGAGGAGATACCCTTGGCAGAGAACTTGTTTTGAGTCAGTTCAGCTGTAGGAGAGAAATCTTAAAGTTTCTAGTCTCTGATGTTTTCTTGGAAGATGTTCAGTTTCCCTGCCACAGTATCAGTCTTCAGTGACTGACATGTCCAGGGTTGTGGGTAGGCTGGTGTATTTGGTTTCCTTGGCTAGAGCCCAGTCTTTCTGACTGGGAGATACCGTTCAGCTTTACTGAGATAAATCTAATATAGGTGTCCTCGGACTTTAGTATTGAAGCAAATTTAAAGCCACATCATGTTTTCTCTTGGCGATTTCTCCAGCTTTATTCAGTGAGATTACGTTAAATCTGAGGATTTTTTTTTTTAAATGTATGCTGTGTTGTAGTTGTGTTGGTCCCAGGATATTAGCGAGACAAGGTGTGTGAGGTAATATCTTTTATTTGACCAACTTCTGTTTACACAGAACTCTTCTTCAGGTGTGGGAAGCTTCTAGCTTGTATCTCTCACCAACAGAAAGTGGTCCAATAAAAGATATTATCTCACCCACTTTGTGTCTCATATTTTTTGTTAGATCATTGATTGTTTGACTTACTCCACTGTAGTGTTTCACTTGGGCCTTCAAGCAGGGCTTTGGAGCAGAGCTGCAGGTTTTTGCCTAGAGCCGGAGCACAGCTCCAAAGCCCTGGGATGTTGGCCTCTCAGAATTGTCTAATTTACTCAGAACTATATTGTTGTGAAGAAAGGAGACATTAATTTGCCAGGATTTAAAGGATCTTAGTTTAATCATCCTGGCTGTGGCCACTGGATGTCACCCTTACTCCACACACGTGGAAGAACCCTGTTGTGATTGCCAGACTCCCTGCTTTCATATGAGGAGATGGAGGTTCAGAGTTAGGGGAATCCTGTTCTCTAAAAACAAAGTGCTATCTTGTCATCCCTGAGAGGGAAATTAGATACAGTTTTTGGAAAAGTTGAATATGAGCAGTAGGCAATTCTGTGCCCCAGTGTAAGCAAGAATATTCCAAGATGTGTGCAGCCTGTATCATTAATGCACACGCACCCCTTGCATGTCGGTCCTTTGTTTGCCCGGGGGGAGAGATCTTGCTGCTCTATGGAAGTTGAGGGACCCATATGAAAATAGCATCTGGGAACCTCTGGTTTATGCTGTATGTCATACCACTTTTATCCTGTAGCTTGTGGTATAGCAGGGCTGTGCAGTGCGTGTTCATGTTTGAAGTAGATATGTGGTACTTCATAAGGCACAAAAGGCTTTGCCTAGAGATACAATTTCTTGGCTTACAGATAGATGAGACACACCAGCAAATTAATCAGTGTCACTCCATGGCTTCTGTGGTTGTGATAAATAAAGCAGATGGCTGTGGGAACATGTATTCTATTCAGGCTATTGCTAGAATTTCCCTTGGAGAAGGAGTTTTAAGATTTGGGAATAAACTTCAAAGCGATCTCTTTATAGCTTGGATCATGTTCCACGCTCTGCCCTTGGTCAATGTAGGCAGGAGACTTCTGAGAGCCAGCAGTGCAGGTGTTGCTTCTCTCATGCCAGCTGTTCCTCTGTAGTCTCTACATTGCACCTGGGAGCCAGAGAGCTGTTTCTTGGGAGGGACTCCCTTCCACTTGATCTTTGCTTTGTAATTGGCCTTGTGCCTCAGTTTTTTGTTTTGTTTGTTTGTTTTGCCAGTTTCCTTCCAGGCATGTGAATTCCTGTTCATTCACTATCGCAGGGGCACTGTAATAGGATGTACTGGATGGAAACTGAACATGAATATCTCTCAGCAGGAAATGTAATGGGATGGTGTCCCCACGGGATGGTGACTGCAGCCAGATGGGCATCACTTCACTAATCCACAGTCTAACTTGCCCAGTTCTGATGGCTTCCTGTTGGCAGCTTTCTTTCTCTGCCAGAAGGAACTGGTTGGTTGTACCATGTGGGTGGCTGTTTATGGAAACTAAAAGTTCAGTAATGATGGAGGGTAATCTACGGGTTGGCAGGGCAGACATTTTCTTGTTCAGAGAGTTGCAGAGCCCAGTCCTGCTGCTTGGAAGTAGGACCTTTCTATTTAGGTCTTTCTCCAACTCGCAGTACCCAAAACCTCCTGAAAAGATGCCTTATTCCTGCTGAAGTGAAGATGTTATGACCATTGTCCCCTTAGACGTCAATGAACTATTCAATGGAGCATCGGTGGTTGGGATGGGGACCTGAAGTGAAAACCCTTCACTTTCGCCTACCACACCATCAGGGTGCCGAAGTCTTCAGCTGCCTTCTACCCAGTTCCCAAAACCTCCAGTGTCCTTCCCTGATAGCATTCACAATACATGTGTGTACTCTCTGCAGAAGTGTGGCAGTAAAACCTTGGACACCATAAAAAGTGAATAACAGAAGGAATTCTGTACTGACTGACTGCATTATTCATTTTTATAGTTAATTCAGTAACCCGTCTCCCTCACTTCCAACTTACATGAAGTTGCAGAATTCACAGATTCCAAGACCAGAAGGGACCATTGTGATAATTTATTCTGCATTACAGCTCTCAGAAACCAGAGGGCCTCACAGCAGGATTCCAGTCCAGTTTGCTGCAAATTCCATGAGGGGGTGGGTCTTGGATTCTAAAGTGGTTGTTTTACAATTTAAAAAATCACTGTCTGAAATATTTGTACCTGCTAATATTACTACTTATACATAGTCACTATATCTGAAAAATTAAAGAGTTTCTCAGTGTATGTTGGGAGTATTTCATAAGAACGACCATACTGGGTCAGACCAAAGGTCCATCCAAGCCAGTATCCTGTCTTTCAACAGTGGTCAATGCCAGGTGCACCAGAGGGAATGAACAGAACAGGCAATCATTAAATGATCCATTCCCTGCCACCCACTCCCAACCTCTGGCAAACAGAGCCTTCACCTTCACAACATCCTCTGGCAAAGAGTTCCACAGGTTGACTGTGCGTTGTGTGAAGAAGTACTTTGTTGTGTTTGTTTTAAACCTGCTGCCTATTCATTTCATTTGGTGACCCTAGTTCTTCTGTTATGAGGAGGAGTAAATGACACTTCCTTATTCATTTTCTCCAACACTGTATATGTTGGTGCAATCAGTTTTTCACCCCTCTGGTCAGTGTGTGTCTTCAGCACAGCAATAATGGAGGAGAAACTTTTTTTTTATTATTTTTTTTTTAATATTGTGAAATCACAGAAGTTGGCAGGTATAGCATCTGAAACTTGCTAACTTGGTTTTTGCATCTTAGATTTCAAGCTGATGGTTGCTATTTTGGGAGGCTTATTTCCATTTGTGGGAAGGAAATTTTGGTTTGAGAGGCCAATTGTATGCCTTGTCAGCCTCTATGAGATGGAGGGTGGGGGAAGAGATGCTGGGAGTAGCCCACAGTGCTTAGTTTTATCTCATTAATTCATAAGTGCCATTGATAAGATCAGGCTGCTAGACTCTGCATTTCCTTATCCTGTCTCCCAGTGATGATCCGCTCATTAAGACTGTAAGATGCAGGCTCTAAAGAGTGTGTATGTGTGCGAGTCAGACAAGCCACGTTAACCCAGGTAAAAACAACACTGGATGATGCTTCCTATGAAAACAATAACAGTCCTCATTATCATTAGTGCTTTATATCTGCACAGCCTTTAGCATTTGCCACACTGCTTCCTGTTAATCCTAACTCTTACAACTGTCTGGGTTTTTTTTAGTATGTAGGTGCTCTCGAAGAGATGCTCCTTGCATTAAAGAAACACTCAAGGTGAGATGCTGTCTCTGAGACTGAGGTTGGAAGGCAATTGTGTGTTCTTTTTTCAAGTAACCTCTTAGGTGGGAAATAGACACAACCCAGGAACACTGAAGCTGTGGGACACTCAGGACTGTGGGGATAGCAGAATGGTTTGTGCTTAGGGGATGCCCTTTGTAGTTATAGCCCTAGAGCTCACTTTGCAAGTTGTTTTTGCTGTTGGGAGGGCGTGTGAATATCGGTAAAGACAGCC